CTTCCTTCCTTCCTTCCTTCTTTCCTTCCTTCCTTCCTTCCTTCCTTCCTTCCTTCCTTCCTTCTTTCCTTCCTTCTTTCCTTCCTACCTTCCTTCTTTATGCCCTTCAGTAGATTACCCCTTATTCTTATTGCCTAGAATTCTGCCACATATTAACCTTTAATGAAAAAGGGAGACTGCGAAGTCAAGGAACAAGACTGTCATACTTGATTTTTAAAAATCACTATCAAATTGATGTGGAGGTAGTGGGGAAGTTTGCCAAATTCCTTCTGGCAGCATCCAGCTCCCAAACATAATTAGATAAATTATGGAAAGAAGTAACATCTAAGTTTCACTCAACTCTAGTGTCTGCACTGCAGACCCCAAGTCCAGTGCAAATACCATTAGACAGGACAGAAATTGTTTACGGCATATACTAAAATGTGATGCTATCTCTGAAGGTGGCGTTATGAGTGATTTGATTTTCTTTCTTATATTCTTCTGTATGAATTACTTGTGTAATAAGGAACAATGAATGGTTTTTAAAATGCTGGAGATGTTTGATCCAGAAAACAGGCTGCTCTGCCTGGGATCCGCTCCCTAGAAAAACACCTCCCACCAAAGAGCCAGGGCATCCTTTCTCAGGGGCTTAACCAGGTAATGCAGAGCAAGGTGTGGATCTAGAAGCATTAAAAAAATTCCCCATTCAATCTCTGGGCCCTTCATCCTTGAACTCTGGCCTCTGTGGTTCAAGTTCTCTACTACCAGGTTCCAGAGACTCTGGAAAACCCCTAGGATTGCTCCCTGTCAGTTTCCTCAGAGCTCCAAACAGCTACTGAGACAAACTCTCAAAGAAGGGGCTCCCTTTGTAGATTTCCACAATTGATAAATTATTCAGTTTCTCAGCCTGTCAGAGGTTCTTCAGAGATGCCACATGCATGTATGTGTTACACTGTCAGTCACGCTTTGATTTTTCCACAGGTGTTTTATAAGGGAAGAGATAAACACATAGCAGTTAAAGGTCTGACCATGAATCTGTACCAGGGGCAGATCACTGTTCTCCTGGGACACAACGGAGCAGGCAAAACCACCGTCTGCTGCATGCTCACAGGTATACAATGAGGACAGCCCTCCTGAAGAAACGGAAGAAATCATTGAACAGATCTACATTTTTAGCTCCATCTACCCTTATTAGATTTCACTGACATTTTAATATTAAGCATTTTTTGTTTGTTGTTTGTTTTTACCCTCTGTGTAGTGTCTGGTTGTTCACATTACTCTGTACCAAAAGAAGGAAATCTGGCTCTTTCAGTCAATCTGAGGAACTTACTCTTGGATAGGGAAGCTGTGAATGCTGCTTAGCATGTTGTTTTCCAGATAGAATTTTCTGGTACAGTGAAGCACTGCCAGTCTCTCAACCAAAGCAATCCTCCATTTGCTTTTCATGGCCAGGAGCCCTTTTAGAATAATACCTGGTGAATTATTCTAAAAGTATTTCAGAATAATTTTTATGTCTACATAATTCTTCACATTTTATCAATTAATATTCTGTGATGTCTGAAAACTCATTCATTCGAGAAACATTTATTGAAGTCTTCACCTGTGCAAAACCAATGAAATCCATTTCCAAACTTCAGGAGCTCTGAAAGCCAACCAGTTCTTTGTTGCTCACAGAACACCAAACTGCTAGGAAGCTATTAGCACTTCAAAGTCAGGCCACCATGATTCTCCTCAGGTTGCTGATGCACCTTCTACTCAAGGCATTTGAAGAGCAGACTCATAGTGAAGCTTGGTCTGAGGAGCCTTTGGTCACCCCTTTAGTATTCAGACTTTAAATGCCAAGTTTTAGCCAAGCAGATACACGCTGGATGGGCTCAGTGTGCATCAGGACTGGGGACTCAGCTAGCCAGTTTGCTGGACTGGGGCAAGGTAGTGTCTCTAGACAGGGTGTCCTCTCTCAGATACAAGCATTACTGCTCCTGGCAGTACGGTCGCTTAGAGAAGGCCTTCCCTTCTACAGAGATTCTGAGGTCTTCAGTGCTTGAAAGGTGATCCAGCTAGACCCACAGGCTAAGTGATCAAGAAGGCCTGCCAGGTACTAACATTGTTTTAGGAGGCCAACTGATACAAACAACATACAGACTCTTCTTGCATTCTCCTTTTTCCCTAGGATTTGTCAGTCTGTACTTACCTGGTTTGTTTGTATATATGTGTGTTATCTCTCTGTCTCCCTCATTCTTCACCCCAGGGAATCTGTTCTATTTATTTCCGGATCCACTGTGCCTGAAACAGTGCTTGGCAAACAAAAGGCACTTGATAAATATCATCAAATAAATGACTGGGCTAATTAACTAATGTAATTGAAAATTCTGTCAAATTGAAGACTATGAATGATATTTCAGAAACGCTCAGCCACAGATGTCTACCAGCAGTGACACGGCATAGAAAAAAGGCCACGTTGCCCTGGAGAAAGTGGCACCACTAAAAAGACACATAGTGAGATTCAGTAGCCCTGAAGATGCGAAGCTGGGAAGGGAAAATCTGGCATCAGACATGGAAGGGCTTCTATATCACATTGTTTGCAGAGAGACCCAAAACTTAGTACAGGCATGTTTTGTATTTTAATCCCTGTCTCTCCACTCAGTAGTATTTTGTGTGTGGATTTTGTTGTTGTTGTTGTTGCTCTATGAGATCTTCTATTTAGTTATTCTATTATTGTAACTATATGGAGACTTTTACATTTACTGTAGAATAATATCACCTTTTTCCCCTAAACAATCATGGCTGCTTTATTAACTACAGAAAAAATGGAAGATCTAAAACCCCAGCAATGGGTAATTTGGCAGTAAGTAACAAAAATCTTTAAAGTTTCACCTGCCTTTTGACCTACTAAATCTACTTTTGTTAATTTAGAGTAAGGAAATAATCTGGAAAGCAGGCAAAGTTATATCACATGTCTATAGTTGTGAAAAATTACAAATCATCTGAATCTCTACTAGTGTAGGTTAAATAAATAGGGTATATTTGTAACAATGAAATATTTTTAGCCTTTAAAAATTATGCAGATTTTGTTGATGTGGACAAATGGCCTCAATACATTGTTATATGAAAAACCAGGATCTATATTTTCCAATTTTTGCTAAAAAATTAATGCATGAGTCAGTATATGCATAAAAAATACATACAGCTATATAGCAAAATGTTAACAGCAGTTATTTTTTAATGATGGGATTTAATATAATTTTTGTTTTCTTTGTAATACTTTCTTCTCCAAACCTTGTTGAAATAGACATTTATTGCCCTTTTTCAATGTGAAAAATATACTTAGAATAAGAAAATGAGAATAAAGACAAAGATAGTATGAGGACGGGTAGGTTGACATATATTTGGCAGTGAGTACATTCATTCATTCACTGTTATTCATTAGGAATTCATTGAGAATCAGAGATGAATCAGTCATGGATCTTGCCTTCAAGGATCTCAGTTCAGAACTGTTAGATCCCCAAAGACTTTTCTCCTTCATATTTACTGTGCATCCATATTATTAATGCTTATAGCAATGTAATTTGTTTTACAAATGTCTGTGTGTGTTGTATTCGCTTACCAGATTGGAACCCCTCAAAAGCAAGATAGGAGTACATCTCCTATCTCTACTATCCCCCACACACATCCTCATTCACTGTCATAGAACATATATTCCCTGGGCATTACTGATTAACTGTGAGAAAGAAGAACAGGGTAGTCTGTGTGAGAGAAGCAAAGCAGAGGGCATGATCAAGCCTTTGTTCGGCTGTGTGCTCTGACTGAAAATGACTTTAGGATGTGTCTTCCACTTGCTCCTAGGTCTTATTTCCCCATCAGGTGGACAGGCATATATCAATGGATATGAAATTTCACAAGACATGGTTCAAATCCGGAAGAGCCTAGGCTGGTGCCCCCAACATGATATCTTGTTTGATAACTTGACAGTAGCAGAACAGCTTTGTTTCTATGCTCAGGTGAGTCAGTGGATGACAAACATTGTTTCCCCTGTACTCATTCTTGGAGATGGTAAGATATCCTGCAGTTCTCTGACTCTGGGAGGGTCAGAAAACCTGGGAGGGTTTTGAAACCTCTTCTGGATGTTATTCCCTAAACATTCGGGAAGGGGGAGAAGCATGGTGCTTAAAGTTTTTGAGTTAAAGCTTTCTAGAAAATATTATTTTAATTTTATATATTTACTTTTTACTTTTATTGAGGTGAAATTCACATAACATGAAATTCACTATTTGGCTCATTTTACAATGTAAAATTTAGTAGTTTTTAGTATATTCACAGTGTTGTACAGCCATCACCACTATCTAATTGCAGAACATTTTCATCACCTCTAAAAACCTGTATCCATTAGCAGTCACTTCCTAGTCCTCCTTCCTCTCAGCCGCTGGCAACCACTAATCTGCTTTCTATTTTTATGCATTTGACTATTCTGAATATTTCAAATAAATAGAATCATGCATTCCATTGGATGTTACTTTCGTGTCTGGCTTTCACTTGACATGTTTTCAAGGTTTATCTATGTTGTAGTATGTGTTAATACTTTACTCCCTTTAATGGCTGAATAATATTCCATTGTATGGAGCTGTATATCCATATTTTGTTTATCCACTCATCAGCTGATGGACAGCTGGATTGTTTATACCTTAGGCTATGTGAATAATGCTGCTATGAATGTTAGTGTTCAAGTTTTTGTTTGAACATTTATTTTCAGTTCTCTTGGGTAGATACCTAGGAGTAAGGGTCATATGGTAACTCTATGTTAATCTTTAAAAAAAACTTTTTGAGGAACTTCCATTCTAGTGGCTGTGAAGTGTATCTCACTGGGGTTCTGATTTGCATTCCCCGGTGATTAAGGTTGTGGTGCATCTTTTCGTGTGCTGATTGGACATTTCTATGTCTTCTTTGAAGAATAGTCTATTTCTTTGAAAAATGCCCATTTTTCAGTCAGGTTGCTTATCTTTTTGTAGTTGAATCATGAGAGTTTTTTATATATTCTAGATACTAGACTTTTATCAGATATATGATTTGCAAAGACTTTCTCTCATTCCATGTGTTATCCTTTCCCTTTATTGATAATGTTCTTTGATACATAAAAATTTTAAATTTTGATGAAATCCAATTTTATTTGTTTGTTTGTTTGTTTGTTTTAGTTGCTTGTGCTTTTGATGTCACATTTGTAAAACGATTACCTATGATTTACACTTGTATTTCCTTCTAGGAGTTTCATAGTTTTAGTTCTTACAGTTATGTCTTTGATCCATTTTGAGCTAATTTTTGTGTATGGTATAAGGTAGAGGTCAAATTCATTCTTTTGCCTGTGGAGATCAAGTTGTCTAGCACTGTTTGTTGAAAAAACTATTCTTTCCCCCATTGAATGGTCTTGGCACCTTTGTCAAAATCAGTTGACCACAGATGTATGGGATTATTCTGGATTCTTAATTCTATTCCATTGGTCTATGTGTGTATCCTTATGGCAATACCATAATGTCTTAATTGTAGTAGTTTTGAAATCAGGTAGTGTGAGTCCTCCACCTTTTTTCTTATTTTCAAGATTGTTTGGGCTATTCTAGGTCCCTTGCATTTCCATATGAATTTCAGGATCAGCTTGACGCTAATGATAGAGTTAGCACAGACTTTAAACGTTAAGGGCACAGTACCCTACAAGACTGCCCCCACTTCAGAAACCAGCCACAAGCTTGGGGGTTCCCAGACAAACAAAGCACTTCTGACTAACTGACTATAAATTTAGGAGTTCCCACTGCCCCCTGAGGTTGGAACTCAGGAAAGTGCTATACTTATAAGTATACTTACATGCTTGCATTGATTTTTTTATATGTTGAAACTTCCTTGCATTCCTGGGATAAATCCCACTTGGTCATGGTGTATAATCCTTTTAATATGCAACTATATTTGGTATTGATAAGTCATATATTTTCATGGTTCAAAATACTAAAGCCTTTTGTCCATTCCTTTCCCTGAAGGTAGTACATTATTTTGTATATCTTGTGTATATCTTTTGTATATTCAAGCAAAATGTTTGTTGGATGGGTCAGCCTCCTGTCAGAAGCCTCTGCCAGATCTATCTATCTTTTTCTATTTCAGCTGAAAGGCTTGTCACACCAGAAGTGCTCTGAAGAAGTCAAACGGATGCTGCGCATCCTCAGTCTGGAGGACAAGCAGGACTGCCGGTGCAAGTTCCTGAGTGGGGGCATGAAGCGCAAGCTGTCCATCGGCATCGCCCTCATAACAGGCTCCAAGGTCAGGGCCCCTGCATGTGGTGGAGAAACAGTCAGGACAGTGAGGCTCAGCCTCCTGAAGGACACAGGTCAGGACTCACGCACTCAGTGGATAAACACTTGGGGCAGCAGGTGCCCAGAGGCATCGTCCTCTAGCACCACCTCAGCCATGAATGCCCTGGACAGACAGTCTGGTGAGGGCGGTACTGCCGCATCTTCATAGAATTCAAGTTACACAGGACCGGCAGCACAGCCAGCTGGGGCCAGTTCACGAGGTTGTTCCTCTGCCCTCCAGGTGCTGATGCTGGACGAGCCCACCTCAGGCATGGATGCCATCTCCAGGAGGGCCATCTGGGACCTTCTTCAGCAGCAGAAAAGTGACCGCACCATCCTGCTGACCACCCACTTCATGGACGAGGCCGATCTGCTGGGGGACCGCATCGCCATCATGGCCAAGGGGGAGCTGCAGTGCTGCGGGTCATCGCTGTTCCTCAAACAGAAATATGGTGAGTGGCTGAAGGAGGGAAGCATGAAGGGCAGCCCAGGTTCCCTTCTGTACAGGCCCCTGGGTCTGAAGAAAGTGCCCACTGTTAACTTTCATGAAGGGCTCCTGAGATCAGGCAGGGAGAGGCCTTCTCCTGACTTTCTGTCTGCTGCCTCTGGGTAGAGAACTTAGGTCCCAGGCAGAGGAGATTGTGAGAATGAGAAAAGAAAGAATTGAAAAGAATCTTGAAATTCTTCTGACTTGGAGTCAGACGACCTGTGTTTGAGTTCCACTCTGCCAGTTCACTGCCTCTTCATCCAGGTAGCCAAGTTTGTTTATTTTTTTTTTTAGCTTTCGTTTTCTAATCTATCAAATTGAGAATAAAATACCATGTTTCTCAAAGAACGATATCATGCATGCAAAAATGCTATACAAGTGTGACTTGTTTTTTCCACAACTGGTTAGTCCACTTCAAACCCCCTCCTCTTGTTTTCTTGGACCCCATGCCTTTTCAGTTTCCCTCCCATGTCTCTGACTGCTCCTTTGCATCACTCCTTCCTCTAAACATGGAAGCACCTCGATCACTTCACTTTTCTTTCTCTGCCCACTGACTTGGTGATCTCATCCAATATCCTGGCTTTAAATACCTTCTTGGTGCTAAAAAATGTGTGTTTCTCTTGCCTGAACCTCTCTCCTGAACTCCAGTTTCGGTTTCTAACTGCCTACTCCACATCTCCACATGGACGTTGAACGGATCTGTTGGCCTTGTTCGAAGCCTGTGCAGAGCTGAGCTCCAGCTCTCTCCCACTAAAGCTACTCCCCTGCAGTAAAGTCAGGTCCATTCTTCTAGGAACTTGGCCAAAACCTTGGAGGCTCCCTGACCCCTCTGTCTCTCACAGCCCATATCTGATTCATCCGCAAACCCTGGTGGCTTTAGCTTCCCATCTCTACCACCTGCTAGCACCTTGGTCCCGGCCACCATGCCCCGCTCTGGATTACTGCAGTTGCCTCTTAACCTATTCTCAGCCTCTGCCCAGTTGTCAGAATTAACATGTCACTTTTCTGCTCAGCCCTTCAATGACTTCCCCTCCCATTGAGAGTAAAAGCCAGAGTCCTTGACTAGGAGTGGCCCCTAGGGCCTTACTTGGCCTGGTCCCACTACCTTGACCAAATTTCCCAGTGCTCTTACATTTCCTTGTTCTGCTTCTGTCACATGGCCCCCTTGCTGATCTAGCATGACAGGCCCAATCCTTCTCTCAGCACTCATAGTGCCACCCCTCCTGCTCTTTCTCAGGTCACTAGCTGGTGGTCCTTATGCAGATGTCACATTCTCAGTGAGGCCTTCCCTGGTGACCTTGTTGAAAAAATAACACTCCCCAATACTCCACATCCCTTCCTCTGTTTTAATCCTTAGCACTTGTTACTAATATTCTATACATTTTACTTATTTATCTTATTATCTGTCTCATACCCCTTTAATGGAAGCCCCATGAGAGTAGGGATTTTTGTCCACTGCTATACCCTTCATACCTAGAATAGTGCCTGTCGCATTTAGAGGCTCAAGAAATGTTTGCTAAATGACTACATTGCCAGCATAATAGTCACAAGTGTTATTATTTTCTGAAAGAATGTTTAGAATGCCATTAAGGTATAAATCCTAGAAAACATGATTTAATTATTGTAGAGGTATCTTTGTTCTTCACCTAATGTTCAAGGCCTCTGCCTATTGTGTTCACGTCCCCAAGTTAGTTATCACTTAAAGGGAATGTTGCTCTTAATGCAAGCCTCCTTTATTTTGACTTTCTTTGCTAAATTCACCACTATTACCTTCTAATTAACGGAATAAAAAGCAAGACTCTCAAGAATAACATTATAGACCTTCAGAAGCAAGTTCATTGCGTTTTAAATTTGATCCCACAGGGCTCTTTCCATGGTGCTGTCCCACTCTAAGCCACAGAAATCTAAAGGTGAGTATAAAGTGTAAATTTGTTTCATGGTCGTTTCAATGTTGTTTCAGGTGCAGGATATTATGTGACTTTAGTGAAAAAACCTGATTGTGACACAGAGATGATTCTTCACCTGATTTATCATCACATACCAAATGCAATTATTCAGTCCAGCATTGGAGGAGAAATAACATTTATACTTCCTAAAGAGAGCATGCACAGGTATGGACCCAAGAGGGCTGGAGTAACAGTTTATATGTATTGAGTTTTCCGAATCATCTCTACTGTGCTTCTCCTCAGAAAAGGCACTCAATTCTGTAAGGGTCTGGACCCCTAGACTTTTTATATTTCCTGGAAAGACATCACATCTCAGCCAAAGTGCACTTGAAAGTATGAGATTCTGATCATGTCACCTCCCTCCATAGAAAACTTTGATGGCACCCAGTTGACTTCAGGTTAAAGTCAAATTCCTTAACATGGTTTACAGGGGCCCTTGTGTGAACTTTAATTACCTGCCCCCAAGTGATGGCACTCAGAGGAAGATTTTTATTTTTAATTAATTATTTTAGGTAGGCCTCAATTTGGCTCACAACAGTTCCCTCTCTCCTTGTTCGCAGTCCCCGTGTTGCTTTCAGATAGGAACCTTGCCTCATACTTCACTGAGAAAATAAAAACCATCAAACAAGAACTCTATTTTATGCCTATCACAAACCTACAAACAAGAACTCTATTTTATGCCTATCGCAAACCTACAAACCTGCTTGCTTTTTTATTTCTTTCTTCCATCTTTTTACAATTGAGAATGTATTCCTCTTCCTATTAAAGTCTTATTTAACACCAACTCAAGATCCCATCCACCCCACTGTTTCAAGAATTCACTTGTGTGATTATCCTCTCTGTCATCTACATCATCAGTTCCTCTCTGTACTGGGTCATCTCCATGAACATACTAGCACACCCTGGAGAAACAACTTCTTCTTCTTTTTTTTTTAAATTAAGTTTATTGGGGTAACATTGGTTAATACAATTATATAATTTTGAAGCGTACATTATCATTTGACATCTGTATATTCTATTGTGTGTTTACCATCCAAAGCCCAGTTTCCTTCAGCTACCATATATTTGATCCCCTTTACCCACTTCACCCTCCCTCTAAACCCTATATTTAACCCCCTTTACCCCGTCTACCTCCCTGCTCCTCCCCACCCAACTACTAACTACTAGTCTATAGTCCTCTGGTAACCACTAGCCTGTAGTCCATGTCTATGAGTCTCTGTTTGTTTGTCCTACTCATTTGTTGCTCTTAGGGAGAAACAACTTCTTGAGCCAGACTTTCTTTCCAGCTACCGCTCCATACTTTCACTGCCCTTCACGACCAAACTTCACTGAAGAGTGGTCTAAACATGTTGCCTCCTTTTGTCATGGCCCCAAGCATTTCTCAGTCTACTTCACAATGGCTTTAACCTATACTCTCCCATCCAAACTACAGTTTTTAAGATCATGATCAGCTTTAATCATACCAAATGCAGTAGGGACTTTTCTTTCTTTCTTTAAAAAAAGATTATGGGGTACTATTTTATACCTACAAATAAGAATATGTTATGCATTTGTGGGTTGTAAAGTATAATAATAAAACGAGCACTGATGAACTCTCTGTTCAACCTAAGAACTAAAACATAGCAATGACTTTTTACCCTCATCTTACTCAACCCTGCAACATTAACTATTTAGTTGCTCAGTCTTTTCTTCTGCAAACACTCCTCTTTTGGCTTCCTTGGCAATTTTACTTCTTGCTGGTTTTACTTCTAGCTCTCTGGCTACTCCCAAGTGGCAGTGGGAAGGACAAGAGGACAAAAAGTTTGGGGAAGGATGGTTGTAAAAAGGACAGTTTTGAATCTTGAAGAAAGACATCAGGAAGGCAGAGCTTTAGCCTGGAAATGCACTCAGGAGTCATCAGCATGGAGATATTTAATGTCATGAGAAGAGATAAGGTCATGTAGGAAGAAAATATAGAGAAAGAAGAAAACAGGGCTTACAACCCATTCCTGAAGCATTCCTAAATTTAGGGGTTCCATTAAGGAGAGGAACCCTGCAAAGAATTCTCATGAAGATGAATGGAGAATAAGCACAAATACATAAAATGAGAATTGAGTTGGGGAAAAAAAAGATACAAAGTACTAGAAGACAATGTTTTGCACAATTTTAAGTAAATATATTAGAAAACCTAAATAAAATGAATAATTATCTCAAAAAGTCATTTTATTAAAATTAACACAGGAAGTACCAGAGGCTTTTATAAATCTGTTAATTTTTACCAAATATTTAAGGAAAAGATAATTTGGATTCTATTTGAATTCTTCCAGAGAGTAGAAAACAAAAAATACTCCTCACTTCTTTTTATTAATCCAGCTTAATTTAACAGTTCATTGAAAGAATAATATGTTGAAAGGATTGTTTGGTAGTTGTACTAATTAATATAATTTACCATATTAGTATGTCAAAAGGAAATAACCACGTCATCATCCACATAAATGAGAAAAATACATTTGCTAAAATTTATTTCTTTTTGAAGTTAGAATAAGACTGTTTCAACATAATTAAAAATACCTCAAACCAAAATAAATTTCAGAGAATTTAAATTTTTTCATGTTAAAAATTAAATTATATAAGTACTGTAAAAATATGCCACAGAATATTTTTATAATCTGGAGTGAGTAAAGATTTTATAGGAATGACACCAAGACCAACGTTATAAAGGAATGGACTGATTAAATGGCAAAGCACAAATACTTCTGCAGCTCACCTGAGCTAGAGAGAGCTGAGCTGCCAGGTATAAGAGTAGCTGACTAAAGCAACAGGCCCAAAACAACAGTTAAGACTTTAACCACTTCCCAAGATGGTGTAAGCAAGAGTATGAAACTGGAGAAAATGCCGATTCCCCCCAGGCCCACCCATTCCATTTTTTCCCATGGAATGTCCCATCGGTGGAGGGTCTGGTGAATCAGCACAGACGCGAGGATCCTCTTATGGTTGAGGGAACCCCAAACGAAAGTCTCCGGCTGTTTGATGTTCCCTGTGGGTAGTGGGAAGGTGAGGGGGAGGACTAGAAATGGAAAAGTATAGGGTACAGTGTCAGAGGGGGAAGGGAGAACTGTCTTCAAACTTTCTCCTCCCCTCCCCCTGATAAAGAGGCTTGGGCGGAGCTGTAGGAGGAGGATCTCAGACAAAGACCTCAGATAAAGAGGCCTGGGAATAAAGGCCCTGGGCTTAAGAATGCTAATGAGAGCATTATTAGCCAGAAGGCCTGAGTCCTAGGCTACAACTCCTGCCAGAGACTGAAGTTCACTGGGGTGCCTCAATTTTGGTGTGCTGGGGTGGGGGTGGGACACAAGAAACAGCTTTCCAGGTGAGGCCTGCCAGGTAAAGCCTTTGTGAGATTACCTGTGGTCAGGTCTGAAAAATCACACCTAGGATTTTGTATTTTTTAAGATTGCGGTTAAATACTTATAACGTATAGTTTACAGTCTTAACCATTTTTAAGTGCATAGTTCAGTGGTATTACATACATTCACATTGTTGTGAACCATCATCACCATCCATCCCCATAACTCTTTTCATCTTGTGGAACTGAAACTATACCCATGAAACAATAACTCCCTATTCTCCTCCCTGTTCACCTCTCCAACCCCCACCCTGACCCCAGACCCTGGTAACCAGCATTCTACTTTCTGTCTCTATGATTTTGACTACTCTAAGTACCTCATATTAGTGGAATTATACAATATTTGTCTTTTTGTGACTTATTTCACTGAGCATAGTGTTCTCAAGTTTCACTTATTATACAGTATTTGTCTTTTTGTGACTTATTTCACTGAGCATAGTGTTCTCAAGTTTCATCCATGTTGTAGCATATTACTTTTTAAGGCCAAATAGTGTTTCATTGTATGCACATATCACATTTTGCTTATCTATTCATCTGTTGTTGGCACTTAGGTTGCTTCCACATTTTGGCTATTGTGAATAATGCTACTGTGAACGTGGGTTACAAATATCTCTTTGAGACTCTGCTTTCAATTCTTTTGGGTATATACCCAAAATTGGTGGGTCATATGGTAGTGATGCCAGAGAGCTCGACAGGGTGGGAGTCCAAAGAGGGACACGGACCCTGTAGCTCCAGTGACCAGGTTCTTGTCTTATGCTGGGAGAAAGAATTCAAGGACTTGACAAACAAGCTGGAAAGTGCAAGTTTTATTAAAGCAAAGGTACATGCTTAAAAGTATGGACAGAGAGGGTCTGCACAAAGCTATCTCCGGCTTTTATTTTCTTGGGGGTGGGATTGTCCCAGAGCTATCCATCCTGCTTCCAGGTCTTGATTTGTTTCCCATGCCACCTGGAGGGGAAGAGTCACCCAAGGCCATACATATATCTTGTCTTCTGGCCTTGGCTTGTTTTTCATGCTGGAGAGTCTCCTGCTTGAAATCAAAACTGGGAGAAAGCTGAATAAAGGACTAGGGAGAAATACCAGAGCCGCATCCTAGACGGGAGGAGGAACTTCCCTAGGCTAACTATCTTGCCTCAATAATTCTATTTTTTATTTTTTTAAAGGACTGCCGTACTGTTTTTCACAGAGGCTGTAATCATTTTTTCATTCCCACTAACGGGGCACAAGGGCTCCCATTTCTCCACATGCCCACCACACTTCTTTTCTTTTTTGTTATAGTAGTCATTCTAATGAGTGTGAGGTGGCATCCCATTGTAGTTTTAATTTGCATTTCTATGATGATTAATGATGTTAAGCATCTTTTCATGTGCTTATTGGCCATTCATGTATTTTCTTTGGAGAAATGTCTATTAAAGTTCTGTGTCCATTATTGAATTGGGTTGTTATATTGTTGTTGTTGAGTTTTAGGCATTCTCTATATATACTGGATATTAATCCCTTATCAGATATATGATTTGCAAATATTTTCTCCCATTCAGTGGGTTACCTTTCTACTTTGTTGATAATGTCTCTTGACGCACAATTTTTTAAATTTTTATGAAGTCCAATTTGTCTATATTTTCTATTGTTACCTATGCCCTTGGTTTCACGTCCAAGAAATCATTGCGAAATCCAATGTCATGGAGATTTTGTATTATATTTTCTTCTAAGAGTTCTGTTATTTAGGTCTTACGTTTAGATCTTTGATCCATTTTGAGTTCATATGTGTGTATGGTGATAAGTAAGGGTCCGACTTCATTCTTTTGCCTGTGTATATCCAGTTTTCCCAGCACCATTTGTTGAAAACACTGTCCTTTCTTCACTGAAGAGTCTTGGCACCCTCCTCAAAAGTCATTTGACCATTTTTGTGAACGTTTATTTCTGGGCTCTCTCTTCTATTGCATTGGCATATATGTCTGTCTTTATGTCAGTACTACATATCCAGTTTTCCCAGCACCATTTGTTGAAAACACTGTCCTTTCTTCACTGTACGGTCTTGGCACCCTCATCAAAAGTCATTTGACCATTTTTGTGAGCGTTTATTTCCAAGCTCTCTCTTCTATTGCATTGGCGTATATGTCTGTCTTTATGTCAGTACTACACTGTTTTGATTACTGTAGCTTTGTAATAAGTTTCAAAGTCAGGAAATGTGAGTCTTCCAGTTTTGTTCTTTTTCAAGATTGTTTTAGCTATTTGGGTTCCCTTTAGAGTCCATATGAATTTTAGGCTGATATTTCTATTCTACAAAAAATGTCATTGGGATTTTAATAGAGATTGCATTGAATCTGTAGATCGCTTTGGGTAGTATTAACATTTTAATAATATTGGGATATTGAACATGGGATTCGTTTCCATTCATTTATGTATTATTTAATTTCCTTCAGCAATGTTTTATAGTTTTCATTGCACAAGTCTTTCATTTCCTTAATTAAGCTAATTCTTAAGTATTTTTTGATGCTATTGTAAATGGAATTGTTTTTGTAATTTCCTTTTCAGTTTGTTCATTGCTCGTAAATAGGAATGCAACCGGCTTTGTGTGTTGATTTTGTATCCTGCTACTTTGTTGAATTCATTTATTAATTCTAACAGCTTCTTTTGTGGAATCTTTCGGGTTTTCTACATATAAAGATCCAATGCAAAAAGATAATTCTACTTCATCTTTTTTAATTTGGATGCCTTTTATTTCTTTTTCTTGCCTAATTGCTCTGGTTACAACTTCCAGTATTAATTACATCTAGATTCTTCTAGTGCAATTAGTGTTTAAATGAGGAGACAGATTCCTGGTCCTTCTTATCTGCCATATTCCCAGAATTCCTCTCTCGCATATAGGTTTTAACCATCAGCCAGTCTCCTCAACACACAACGGACTTAAATTAGAAATTAATTACAAAAAGATACCTAGAAAATCCACAAACATTTAGAAATTAGACAGCATACTTCTGAATAACTTATGCATCAGAAAAATTTTAAAATATTTTGAATCAAATGATGATGAAAACACAACATATCAGAAATTTTCAGAGCTGCTGAAACAGTGCTTAGAGGGAAATATACAGCTTTTTAAAAACATTAGAAAGGAAGAAAGGCTAAAAAGCAATTACCTAAGTTTCCAACTAAAGAAAGTAGAAAAATGCCAGAAAATTAAGCCCAGAGTACATAGAAGAGAAGAAATAACAAATATACAAAGAAAAATAATGAAATAGTAAATAAAAAATAGGGAAAATTTAAAAAGCCAAAAGTTGTTTATTAAAAACATTAATAAAATTGATTACCCCCCTACCAAAACCATTAAAGAAAAAATACAAGTAAGCAGCATCAGTAATGAAAGAACTGCTATGCATACAGAACACAAAGTTACAAAAGGATAATAGGAAAATATCATAAATAAGTTGGACAATTTAGATTAAATGGGTTGATTTCTTAAAAAACAGAACTTACCAAAACTGACAGGAAATGAAAGAAAAATCTGAATAACTATGTCTATTAATAAAATTGAATTTGCAATAACAAATAGTCCCCAAAAAAAGGGTTTCGGAGGGCTGGGTCCAGCTGAAACTATTGACCAGAGCTCTGCACAAATCCTCTGCAGCATGATGGTTTCAAGATAGTCAAGCTTTACAGGATGCCTGTGGCTCTCAGAGAAACCAGGACAGAGCCTAAGGGCTTCTTCTGATATAACCCCCATCACTTCCATCATAGTCTTAGTCAAACAAATCACTAAAGTCACCCCAGTTTACAGAGAAGAATTAAACTCCACCTCAGTGGGAGAAGCAGTGAAGAATTTATAGCCCTTTTGTCTATCATGTTATCCAAGATAAATGAAAGCATATGTCCAGACAAAGGATGTATATGGTAGCTTTATTCAGCAGCATCTTGACTTGGAAACAATCCAAATGCCAATCAACAGGAGAATCAATAAACAAATTGAGCTATATTCCTTCTGTTGAATTATCAGAAGCGAATTATTAATGTATGCAACAATATGGTTGAACATGTTACATAGATAACACTAGATACAAAAGAGACTATATGATTCCATTTATATGAAGATAAAAAACAGGCAAAACTAACCTGTTAGTTTTGTTTTGCTATCAAGAGCAAGATATCGTGCACATGGAAGATATGCATATTGAACATGTTACATAGGCTGGCTATTTTGCTAGGTGTTTTTACATTTATCTCAGTCTTTTCAACTCTGTGATTTAGGTAACAACTATCACATAGATAAGGAAAGATTTGGAGAGATGAAACAACTAGCCCAATGTCAAACAACTAGTAAGTGGCAGACTCTGAACTCAAATCCAGCCCCAGTCAACTCACAATTCAAGCCTTTAACCACCGTCTGCCTGCCTGCAGGGGCACACAGGGTGCCTGCCTCTTATGGGCATCTAGCATGTGAATGGTGCTTCTTAAAGGCACTTTGATGGACTAGGCACTAGGTTGTAAAAGAATAGAAGCTTCCATTTTAGAAGATTGTCATGGATTTTTAAATATCACACAAAAAGCCACAATTCATTTAGTTGAAAAAAAAATGGAGGGGTTTGAGGTTAAAGACTGTTAAGAATTAGGTTTTTTCCTCATTTAGCATAACAGTCAAAAATAAAAATAAAACAAAAAAACACTGTCTCTGAACAGAAGTGGCCTGAAGTTTAGTTCTAGCTCTGCTACTTCTGGCTGTGTTATCTTAGGGAAGTTACTTAACCTCTCAGCACTGACCTTAAAGAGCTGTTGGAAGGTTTGACAGAATTAATACATGGAAAATGACTAGAATGGCTCCTGGCATTTATTAAGGACTTGCAAAAAATAGTATTATTATTTCTTTTTACTCAAAAGAAAAGAGATGAATTAATATTTACTTTGCATTTACAATGTGCTAGGTGTGTGTTAGACTTATCCTACTGAAACTTTTTGAAGTAAATGCCTATTGCTCTCACTGTTTAAGTTTAGAGTTGTGAAGCTAGAAATTTGAACAAATATCTTCTTGACTACACAGCCCATGCTTTTTCCCCTGTAGAAAGAAAGCCAAGGTGATATGAGAGATTCACCTCCCACCTTTGAAGAATAAGTGTTTTTCCCTTTCAGGTTCGAATCTCTATTTACTGACTTGGAACTAAGGCAAGTAGAGCTGGGCATCACCAGCTTTGGAGTCTCTGTTACCACTATGGAAGACGTCTTCATTCGGTAAGAAAGTGTAAAACTACAGACTCTAAGAATTTTAGAGCTGAAAGAGTTCTTAAGGGTCATCTAGCTAAACATCGCCCAGTGCTTGAATCCTTCCTGTAACATCCTCACTAAATGGTCTTCCTGCCTCTGCTTGGAGTTCCAATAATAGGGATATTGGCTAATAGAGAAAATGTTGAACAAACACAATTTTAACAGAAATTTCTAGGAATGAAAAACAAAAAGGAGACATTGTATCTAGTGGGATGCTTTTGACTGTAAGTAACAGAAAACCCGAATTCAGCTGGTTTAAACAATTAGGAAGGTTTATTATTTCATTTAAAAAGATTTCCCAAGGTAGGGCAGCTCTAGGCTGGCTATTTCACCCACCAAGCTATTTGAATGTCTTGAAGCAGGTGTGCGGGCTCCATTCTAGGAAGGCTGTGACAGGGCCCTTCAGATAAACTACCCAGGAGGCCACATTAGGCCAGAGAGTAGTGAGGGGAACAGGGATTATTTTACCCAGTCTGGCAATATTTGTCTTTTAACTGGACCATGTAGGTGTTTTAAGAGCATTATTTATAATACATTAAAATTTTTATCTATCATTTTATTTGATATCACCTACTAGTCCTGCCTACATGCTTTTTTCTCTCCCTTTTTTGTAGTTTTTCCTCATTCTATATTTTCCTTCCCAATACTAGTTGGAAATTATACATTTTTATTGCATTATTCCAGTGGTCAGCCTAGATATTGAGACTTATATATGACTTGTCAAAGTATCAAGTGAATTAATGTCTTTACTCTGCTCCTGGGAAAGAGCAAGAACTTGGGACACTTTAATTTTATTCATACACATCCCACCATCACCAATTTATATACTGTTGTTGGATATTTTTATTCTACCTCTTTTTTAAAAAATCCACAAAACATTATTATCGTTTCAGAAAGCCAATGATCGTTTAAGTTCATGTGCATGTTTACATACGTCTTTCTTTGTTCTTTCCTCTTGTTTCTCAGGTAACTTTCCTTCTTCCCACAGCACATTCTTTACAGTGTCCTTTAGTGTTTTCAGGCTGGTGCCAATCCCTCATGGTTTTTTGGCCCAGAAATGATTTTATTTCTGTCTAATTTTTGAAGGATTTTTTTTTCCCGCCAGATTGAGTTATTTTTTTTCAATATGCTGAAAATATCATTTCACAGTTCTTATTGTTGCTGATGAAAAGTGAGCTGTAGGTCCATCTGTTGTTCCTTTGAAAGTAATCTGGCTGCCCTTTGTTTTTGATGCTATACAGTTTAACTATGGTGTGTCTAAGTATGGTTTTCTTTTGAATTATCTTACTTAAGATGTGATGGACTTCTGGCTATGGACTCATGTCCTCCATGAGCTTGAGAATGTCCAGCCATTGTCTGTTTACATAGTGACTCTGCTCGATTTTCTTCTCTCATTTTAGAGCTCCAATTAGACATGTGTTAGATCTTATTACTCTCTGTACTATGTAGATTTTAACTTCTTTTTCATATTTTCCGATTGTTTGTCTCTCAGAGCTGAATTCTATACAATATCTTCTGATCCAGCTTATGTATTTTCTCTTCAAATGTGTCTGATCTTCAATTCAACATTTCCATTGAGGTTTTTAAAAATAATTACATTTTTATTGAAGTGTAATATACGTACCAAAAGATACACAAATGTTAAGCCTACGGCTCAGTTTTATACAAGTCCTTTGTAAGGTACATGTTTTTCCTATATTTTCTTCCAGTCTGTGGCTTTCCTTTTCATATTCTTAGAGCTTACCCTTAAGTCACAAAGTTATTCTCCTACAGTTTCTTCTAGGAATTTTATCATTTTAGCTTCTACATAGATCCATGAGCTGCTTTATATTAATTTTTGTATATGGTTTGATAAGAGGTTGAGGTTCATTTCCTTGCACATGGATATCCAGTCGTGACAAAACTATTTGTGGAAAAAAATTTTCCTTCCACAATGAATTGTTTGAATGATTTCACCAAAAATCAATTGACTATATACATCTATGTCAGTTTGTACATTATTGTGTTCCATTGATTTATTTGTGTGTCCTATGCCAGTACCACATCGTAGCTTTGTTGCATGTCTTGAAGTAAGGTAGAATATAGTTCTTCCAGCTTTGTTCTGTTTTTTGAATATTATTTTAGCTATCACAGTTCTTTTAACTTAACATGTAAATTTTTTAAGTTGCCAATTTCTATTTTGAAAAAAACTTGCTAGAATACTAATTTATCAACTGCAACAAGTGTACCACACTAATGCAGGATGTTAATAATAGAGAAAACTAGGGGAGCAGGAGGAGAACGGGTAGATGAGAACTCTGGTTTTTTTTCTGTTCAATTTTTCTGCAAACCTAAAACTGTCTAAAAAATAAAGTCTGTTAAATTTTTAAACCTGCTGGGAATGTGACTTGTATTAAGTTGAATCTATAGAACAATTTGGGGAGAATAGGAATTTTTAGAACATCTATTCTTCCAATCCATAGATATCGTATACAGCTTCATTTATTTATGTCATTTCTAATTTTTATCAGCAATGATTTATAGTTTTCAGAAGTCTTGCATGTCTTTTGTTAAATTTATTTGTGAAGGTGTGGAAATAAATTTCTAAATTTGATTTTTCAATTTTTTGTTGCTCATATACATAAATCATTTGATTTTTTATTATTAACTTTATATCTAGAGATATTATTTAACTCACTTATTAGTTCAAACAATACTGGATTGACTCCTTCGTATTTTGTATGTAACTATCATATCATCTGAAAGATAGTTTTACTTCTGATTTTCCCATCTTTATGCCTTTTATTTGCTTATTTCACTGGTAGAATCTTCAGTATAATGTTGAGTAGAAGTAGTAAGAATGGATGTCCTTTACTTGTTAAGGGAAAATTTTGTGTTGTTTCATCACAATCAGTAGTTCATTCTATTTAACCACATTTCTTCTTTTACTTTTTTTGAGTTTAATTTGCTGAGCTTCTCCCCTTATCTTTGTAAGATAAATTTTTATATAGTTTATTTTCAACCATATCTGTATTTATTTAAATTCAGCCATGTATATATGTTGATATAAATTCCCCTCTGAGCTTATCTTACTTGTACTTTACAATTTTTTGATATGTAGTATTTTCATTACCATTCAGTTATTTCACCTCATTAACATAACAAAAGACACTTTTTATCACTCTTATCACTTAAGAAGTTATAAGGGTTTTAGGAGCTCTGTGCTAGGACCAGGCAAAAGCCAAGTATACATTTCTTGTTATAAGTCACAATATCACAAATGGTAATACTCAAAATTTTATTTCTTCATGATTTGGCTACATTTTACTATTATCAGTGCTCTTGAGGTTATTTACATCTACTTACATCTGTATGATGGAAATGTTATGTTGATAGTTTAAAATTAATGATGGTTAGAATATTTACACCATAAAAATCGATAACCACTATAAATTAGGGTTTAATTTCTTGTTTTATTGATTGTCTAGATTAAGAAAGTGATGGAGAAAATGTTAGTAATGTGAATTAAGCTTAATAGTGTGCCATATCTGGAAGCATTTCATTAAGAATAGCACAAAAAATTAGAGGAAATGTTCTTCCAGTATGAAGCAAGCCTTAATTTAACAAAAACATTGCTCACCTCATGGACCAATAAGTAAAGTTCTGACATATATCTTTGTTATTTCACTTTTATCTTAATCATTCATGTTAGTCAAAACATCAACCAACATCCTAGTCAGAACTACACTCAGAGAGCTAGCTGTTAAGCCTCCTGCCCACGGCCATGTGTGGGTGCCATCCTGGAAGTGGAGCCTTCTGCCCCAGTTGAGCCTTCGAACAACTGCAGCCCTGGCCAATAGCTTGACTGCAGCCTCATGAGAGATCTTGAAACAGCACCAGCCAACTAAGCCACTCCCAAATTATTAACCTACAGAAACTGTGTGAAATAATAAATGTTTACTATTATTTTAAGTAAACATTTTGAAATAAATAAATGCTAAATTTTGGAATAATCTGTGTCACAGCAATAGATAACAACAAACACACCATCTTCAACCAAACTGTACTGGAGGGAAATTAAGTCACAAGCTACTAGATTGTTTTGTTGTAACAAATTCCCAGGAGTAGGATAACTGGCCCAATAACTATGAATAAAAATTTATTTCTTGACGCATTAACAGTTTGTTGCAACAATGAATACATCTTTTTCTTAAAGGGCCAGATAGTAAATCTTTTAGACTATGTAGACTTAGTGGCATAATCAAGGATGTTATGTAGTTACTTAGATTGCCATCTAACGTGGAACCATTTAAAAATGTAAAATTCCTTCTGAGCTCAAGGCCATACAGAAACAAGGCCTTGGACTATATTTGGCCCATTGGCTATAGTTTACCAACTCTTGGCCTGGAGTGTCTGCAGTGCTATGTTTTATAATTTATAGTTTTGCTCATAAGATAGATATTAAGAGATATTTCATGTTTGTTTTAATTTGCATGTGGTATTTTTTAAGGAAAATAATGAAATCTATTCATGCTAATCTTGCCTCAGTTCTCTTGAAAAGCCATAGATCAGTTAATTGAGTACTTGGTGCCTATTTAAGACCTTCCTAGTCAGTATTTACTTGCTAGCAGCATATAATCTAGGTGCAGCTCCTTTTTCCCACATTATTCTTGTCTTAACTTCTTATTTTTTTTTCAAACGTTACATGGCTTTCATTTTTTTAATTTAAACAAAATGAAATGTGTTGTGATTTTGAGAAGTTATATTTCCTTTTGTCTTTGGTTTGGTTTAGGGTTAATCAGTTGGTGGATTCCGGAATAGATGTCCAAGCCATCAAGAGTCCCTCTGTCCATCTTCACCCTCTGGTCAACAGAGTTCCTGTTGACAGAATTAAATGTCTTCATTCGAGAATCTTCTCATTACCGTCTGGCCTGACAATCCACTCAAACACCGGCGTGAGCAGATATTTCAAATGCATGCAAGAAAGCAATTTTGATTTAATTCTTGGAATCATGCTATTACTCTGTCAAGAAGTATATACCAACCTTTTAAGAAAAAAAAAGTGCAAATTTTAGACATAAAAGGCGGTCTGTACTAGGTTTCAGCAAAGCCATACTCTCTGCTCTAATTCAAAGGCAAAAGGCTGGTGTTTTTTAACCAGGATTAACCCAATGGAAGAAATTATCAGAAAAGATCACAGTAAAGGTCTTGGCCATTCCTCTCACCAGGAAAAAGAAAGAATAAAAGAGCTAAATCTACCAGCCAAAAAGCATATTTAATCTTTCTTTTTAACCTTGCACAGATAATGTATTGTACCACCTGTAATTTAAAATTTTTTAACCCATTTCCCATTTGCCCCAGGAATATTCACCAGTGGCACTGCACTTGTGGCTGCAGCGTTTACCAGAGATAACTCCTGAATTACAGTCCTAACCTTATACCCAAAGTTTGCCACAAAACAACTTGCTTTTATTATTATTTTCTCATTTCTCTAGTATACTGATAGTGTTTAGAAACAAATGACATCATTCTATTAATAGCATTCTGTTTTTAGTAGTGGTATTTCCATTTACAAAATACAGTAATTCTCAATCGCTGAAAAGCTCAGATCCTAGAAAACGTAGCATTCCTACGCATGATTTTAAATTAATGCTGGCAGCGAGCTGCATTTTTTTTCTGAACGGGAAAAGGGTTAAAATATATCCTTATTAAATATATGGACAACCTGTCATATTCTTTTAATGTTGAAAAAAAGACTTGTGCGTTTTATAAAGAGGTCTCGATTTAGCTCTCTATAAGATGCTGCTGTAAAATAATGAGGCTGGTTTTTGTGGGTTAGTGAAGAAATTAATTTCATTGTTTTATAATCTTGAATCACATGATAAAGGGGAAACTGTCATCCGTGGAGCCTCTGGGTTGGAAAGTGTCTTGGGACTCATCTAGGCCAGCCATCTGCCTTGTGTAAGAGGCTATTCCCCAACCCCCAGCAAGGTTCTATCCACTTGGCCAAGCTTTGCTTTTGGAGACCGCTCCAGAGTCTTCTCAGGAAGTATTTCTCAGAGTGCAACCTCAGACAGATCAATAGCAGTGCCTTTTGATAAACCCTTGAGGTCCATATAGTCTTTATCATGTCAGGTGTGGGAAACTTGGGGCAGTTGGTAGAAACTTTCAGGGATTTGTTGGTATTTTGGGCCAGGAACTTAGGAAGGCCTGGGTTCAAACCTGACCACCACAAAGGCTCTTGGGTGGACAAAGACACTAGCGCCTGAGGCTTGAAGGCCCTGTGTGTGTCCCAGGATGTGCAGTGCCACGAAGAAGCTAAGTGGGAGCACATGGCACTAAACTCCAGGGTCACCTACCCCCAGGCCCAACTCAAGATCTTGGGATCTCAGTACACATGACTACACACTGACATCTACTAGCAGTGCCACAGGGACATCATGTGCATGGGTCTTTGACACGAGCCAGGGGCCACTTAAGTGTCTGCCAGCTTCTATCTGTGACCGTATTAATGGTGTATCTCTCCCCATCTTTTTTTTTTTATTATAGTTCAGTCTTCTCTGCCAACAGTTCTATGCCATGCTCCTGAAAAGGGTTACATACTCTTGGCGCAACTGGATAATGATGCTATCGATACAAATCCTGGTGCCTCTGGTGATCATTACAGTCAGCCTCACATCCCTCAACTTCAAAACGAACCTGGAAAATGCCCCATTGGAACTGACCCTAAAAACATATGGTCAAACTATTGTTCCATTCTTTATTTCTCCGAATTCCAGGTTGGGTCCTCGGCTTTCAGAACATTTTACAGATATGCTTATAGCTGAGGAACAGATTCCTCTGGAGATCCTGAGTAAGTACCAGGCCCAGGAGAACAGGGCATGAAGCAGGCCTGCGCGCCTTGTAGCGAAGCCATGTCCTTCCAGGCCATGTGACGCTCCCTAAAATCAGACCGAATAGCCAGAAGTACCAAAAAAAAAAAAAATCTTTCAAATCCCAAGTGAAAGGAAAAGGAGAGTTCCAAGAAATGAGACCAAATTGTGACTTTCTAGGGACTAAAATACATCCAAAAATAAAAGTGATAAATTATCTGATATGTTCGAATGTACTGAGAGGAGATTTACACTTCTATCAAGGGAGTTTGTGGATGAGTTGGTGACAGATGTAGAGAAAACTAAGAAAATGAGAAAAGGAAGATGTTAACTCCAGGGGAAGGTGGAGGGGAAGGTTGTACCAAACCACCACCACCCCAAACCTCAAAACCATAATATACTACTTGGCTCAGCTGTGCATAATTTTTACTTAGTCATAATAATGTCAAAACTGACTATTGATTTAACCATATTTATGATGTCATTCTAGAGGGAGGAGATGGGAGGGGAAGACCATAGAGGTAAGGAAGGTCCTAAGAGAACAAAATCCTTGCTTCCATAATAGGCTATCGGTAGATAAATGCACTATCTAGCAATCTGGAGAAACACCAGCTAAAAGATTTGGGAAGTGGTTACCTCTGATGAGCAGGCACTGGGGGTGGTGAAAGGCTAGTGCACTGCCATTTCTCATTTTAAGTCTTGTATAATTATTTGATTTTTAAAATTATATTCATGTGTTATTTTGATTAAAAATAAAATTTTAAGTAATATGTGTTTGTAATAAAGTAAAGAAGTCAAATGCAGACCATGATCTAGCAAAATGGTTGAGGTCATAGTGCCCTACCTCTCCAAGCTTGGTTTCTTCATATGCAAATGGAGAGAATAATAAATCGCGAAGATTCCGTGAGGGAATGCCCATCTGGGCTTTGCTCAGTTAGCATTCAGTGAGCCTTCAGTCAGTGGTACAATTATCATCATTGTTGTTGCTGTGATTAAGGATCCATCCCAGCACTAAAGATTCCAGAATGCCAGATGAGTCACATATTTTACATGGCCCTATGTGCTGGGAAGTACAGCAGCAAACAATATTATTACCAGCCATTAATGAACTTCTAGCCCATAGGTCATATGGATAAGTGACAGTAGTCACAATACGAAGTGGCAATAACAATGATGATCAGAGTGCTATGAGATCACATAGACATACCCCAGCCACGGAGGGCCAGAGGAGGCTCCAGAGTAAGAGGCTGAGGTATGAATAGAAATTGATCCATAGAAGGGGAAGAACATTCCAAACCTTGAGAAGAGCATTTGTAGATATGAGGAACATGAGTCCTTAGCTATGGCTATAACTTAAAGATGGGCAGCTGAGTTTGAATAGCAGTTGGGCACTGTAGGTCATGGGCTAGAGTTTGGCTTTATCCCAAGGGCGGTGGGATTCACTCGAAGTTTTTCAGTGCGATGCAATGTAATCAGATGTGTCCTTTCATTTGGGGACTAGACAGAAGGCAAGGAACTCCATTAGGGCCACATAGTACAGGTGAAAGTGGAGGGCCCAGGGCCACATCTGGGCCATGCGGAGGGAGAGATTTAAAAGATGACTAGAGGAGACTTTTTTGGGGTTTTTTGCTTGCTTGTTTTTACTACTCCAGTCAAACTTTATTGAGGCCCCAGGGTCATGGAGTTCAGGCAAGAGGTGGCCCTGTAGGCAAAAAGGATCACTAGAATTGAGGGCACCGCTGTGTTAGGAGGAGCCCATTTGCAGACCTGGGTGGGGGTTGGCGATGAGATACCCAGAAGGGGCAGGGGTTAGGGGGAGACTGATGGCAAGTTCTCCTTGCCCCACTGGGCCAGGTGTGAAGCTCTCAGATAGATGTTCTGCTTTCTTCCAGGTTCAGTGGAGGCATTCCTACTGAATAAGTCAGAAGAGGAACCCGAGAACTTTGATCAGAACTACCTAGTGGCAGCTTCCTTTGAAGACGTGAAGAACCGCACCATAGTGACAGCGCTGTTCAATAACCAGGCATACCATTCCCCCGCCCTGGCACTGGCGCTGGTGGACAATGTTCTCTTCAAGCTGCTTGCTGGCGCCAGGGCTTCGATCACAGTATTCAACCACCCTCAACCTCAGTCGATCGTGGAGACCTCCGAGAATGTCCTGTACGAGTATGTACAACTTCCCTCCCCAGGTTAAAGCTCTCTCACCTGCCGGACTGCTCGCTTTACCACCTGTTTCTCTCTTTATTTGTCTCTTATTTTAATTACAAATTGTTATTTTGGAAGGTGGTCGCTGAGAGCAGCTCTACTTAAACTGCTACCTCACTCTTCATGTGCTGTCTTTTACAGGGGCCCTAAAGGACATTATCTTGTCATCAACTTGCTTTTTGGAGTAGCTTTCCTGTCTAGTTCTTTTTCCATCTTGACAGTCAAAGAGAGAACCATCCAGGCCAAGCATGTCCAGTTTGTCAGTGGAGTTTACATAGCCACTTTCTGGCTCTCGGCTCTGCTGTGGGACCTCATCTCCTTCCTCATCCCCACTCTGCTGCTGCTGGTGAGGGCTGCATGGTGTTGGGGCCCTTTCCCTGCACGTCACAGGGGGCTTGCTTTAGGGAACCTGCGAAGAACCAGAACCAGACGCGAAGTCTAGGCTGGCAGCTCAGCCCTGGATTCGGTGACCCAAGATATGAAAGCACCCTCATCGCTGACCCTCGGTAAAAGACAATTCAGATCCCAGCATCAGTCAGAGCTGAAGAGTCTGCTCTAGGGTCTCCAGTTTGCGGTATTCCCAGAACTGCTGCCCCAAGCTAGTAAGAAGCAGTATCATGGGGATATGTGTTCATAGTCCAGAAATGGCTCCCCAGGGCACTGAGGGATACAAGTATTTGATTGTGACTGAATTGTGTAGCTTGAGGATTCCCTGGTCATTAGTGCAGAATAGATCACATCCTCCTTTGTTTTCCGATGCACTTTGTAAACATCTCTTATCCCCTGATTTCCAGGGGCAGAGCTTGCTGTGGGATGAGTAAGTGAAGGGAGTTCCTTATACCATATGACTAACACCTCATTTTGTTTGAGATTTTTATATTCTTCCTGTAATGCTTAGGATTGACTTTCAGTGACTTTTTCAAATTCTATGCCCTTTTCCTAAGGTGGTGTTTTTGTACCAAAATGAAGAAGCTTTTACGCACCAGGAAAACATCCCGGCTGTTGTCCTGATGCTCATGCTCTATGGCTGGGCCATCATCCCCTTCATCTACCTGACTAGCTTCTGCTTTGACAATGCGGGTAGCGCTTGTGTTAAGCTCATCATAATGCTCACCTTCTTGAGCATTGGCCCCCTTATTCTCGTCTCAGTCACAAGTGAAAAAGGTGAGGATCGTCATATCTACACATGACACAGAGCTTTGATTCTGCCTCCAGCAGCCACAAAAACTGTACCCATGAAAGCGTGTGTCTGCCAGGGACCTGTGCGAGACCACTCTCAGCAGCTGTAGTTTGAAGAGCCCCAAATTGGCCATGTCTCAAACACATTTTCTCTGAACACAGTAGTTGTACTCATCCAATGGCTTGTGCTTAGCAAAAAAAGACAACAACTGCTTACCACACATGACGATGTGGATGAGTATCACAACTCAGTGTTGAGCAGAAGAGGGCACACTCTTTGATCTTGGTGATCGAGTCAGAAAAGTGGTTGCCTCAGAGTTGGGGGCAGAGGTGTTGACTAAATAGAGACCTTAGGGACCTGTCTGGTGTTAACCTAAGGCATAAGACATGAAAGGCAGTTCCTCTGGGATGGCAGCTCCAACTCCATTTTAAAGGGGCCCCATTTATTGTTTTTTTACATGGGAGTGATTGTTCTGTGTCGTGATCGAGATGTTGGTTCCATGGGCATAAGTATTTGTCAGAATTCATCAAATTGTCTGCTTACGACAATGCATTTCACTGAAATAAATTATTCCTTAGTTAAAAAAAAAAAAAAAAGGTAATAAGCAAATAAATAAGCCAAGGCTGGGAGAATGCTGCTGGTGAGAGTGTAATTAGATAAAAGAAACACCACATACCTTAAAATGGACATTTTCCTGTTTGTGCCACCATCTCTCTCTAGGTCAAGATTGGATAAACATATTTATATTTTACGTCTGTAATGCTGTTTTTATTTACTTCCTTGCTGACCACCTCCTTTAAACTGACCTTTGGGTTTTGTTGGTGGTGACTCTTTTACTCAAAAATATGTTAGAAACTCCCTCTGCTTTCTTCTTGGGAGTCATTCTATTTCTTAAAAGACTTTACATGTACAGATTCTTATCTATTTTGAATTTCTTTTACTAGTCTATCTCCCAGAGTTTTGCGGTGCCCTTTTAGTTCTCATACATACCACCTGGTGGAAATTCAGAGGTGGAATGATTTTCATCTGAGAGGATCAGAAAAGTGACAGTGTTTTGACTTTATGATAGAGATAAAACAAAAAACATACTGCAGGCAGAAGAAAGGAGACTAACAAAGACTCGTCCCAGAGGAGCCCTCACCCAGTGGTTCTCAGCGGTGATGTGCGTCCAAGACTCACTGATCAGCACTGAAAGACAGACGTATCCCAGGTCGTTCCGATGCAGGTGGTCCAGGGAATCACTCTGAGAAATGCTGCCCTGATCTCCAGGAAGAACCTAAGGATTCGGATTCCTCCCTTTTTGTAGCCTAACCTTACCCTTGAGGGACAAGTGCAGCAAGTCCAAGGATGCTGAGGGGCCCTGATGGGGGCAGACCTTTATGAGAAAATGACTGAACTAATGGTGCTTGACTCTCTGGACATTCTCTCTGGATCCCTTGACCTTTCTGGGATCCATTTCTTCTTAGATTGCTTCATGCTATTTCTTCTCTTCTCTCCATGCAGCAGTAACATGGACCAAGGTCCTTCTTCTGCTGAGCAGGATGCACCTTACAACTTAAAAACTAGGTGGGAAATGGGTGAGTCATAGGGGAGGGAGGCTGGGACAGGCAAGAAACTCCTCCTCTGGTCTGGGAAAAAGGATAAGGATGCCTTCACGTGTCCCATCCCTACTTCCTGAGAAAAGAAACCATTAGAGTCTGGACTTTGGACTCTGTACACATACCCAGGGGCCTCACTAGCATGCTGTCACCATGGCACTATACAAAGAATCAAAATATGAAAGCTAAGTCTGAGCTCTCTTTTTCCTGGACCCCACTAAAATGATAGCAAAGGAAATAAAAATGTATGATTCACGATGAAGAAGCAGCTAAAGTGAATTTAGAGGGGAAAATGGCTGAGCAAGGGTCTAATTTAGCACTACAGAATCCTAGAGAGATTTGGGACCCAGAGGCTTGGGACCTCAGAGAAAAGGAGTGAAGACACGACTGAAAACAGTATGTGACATCTCCACTGTCCCTGTTCCCACTTCCCCACCCGGAAGCGTTAAAACACACGTTCATGCCACAGGTAGTCAGAGGTCACTCCCTTGCTGAATTCAACCTGCTCCAAGAAGAGACCTACACATTCTGGCTGGTCCCCTGCCTGGTTGCCTTAAAGTGTAGCCTGCTCCCCATACACAAAGCCTCCTGGTGCCTCAGTTGTTCCTGTGAATAGACAGCCAAAGATCTCCAAACACCTGAGGATGGTGGTCACAGAAATGACAGAAACTAAAACAAACCAACAAAAAATAAAACACAGGAGTAGAGAAATGCAAGAAACAAAACAAAGATTTTTAGAAAAGATTGTATCTATTAAACAACAGAATTCTATGAAGTAGAAAAACTTTGAGAATAAAGAGCTGATTGCCAAAATAAAATTTAGCAAAAGGGTGAAAAAGAAAATCAATTAACCTTCCAGAAAGTAGATGAAAAAGACAGGAGAAACAGAAAAGGTGAGAGAAAAGGCAGATGACATGAAAGTAAGTCCAGGAGACACTACTATATTCAATTGATAAGAATTTCAGAAAGAGAACATAGAGGAAATAAATTACCAAGGAAACAAAACAAAATTTCCGAGTTGAGAAAAACAAACCTCAAGTTGAAGGGATCCATCAAATGTCCAACACTGAATGCAAAAAGACCCACACCATTAAACCTAGACGCTTCCTAGAAGATGACTTCTATACTTAATTCAATTGTCAATCAAGTGAAAGGACAATTTCAGATGGGTAAAACAGAAATGTTACCTACCACATCGCTTTCTTGGAAAGTTAATCAAGGATATAGGCTAGCAAAGTGAAGGAATAAAGCAAGAAAGAAGACACAAGATCCAGAAAAGTGTGAATCTAACCCAGGAGTGTGGCAAAGAAAAGTCACCTTCAGTTGGAGAACTAGATATTGATGGTTTGTGACCTCTCCTCCTCGGTCTTTAAGCAACTTTAGAATATGATCCAGTGAGAAAGAAGGAAGGGAGATAAGTGGGAGCTGTGAATAAGTTTCTTCAATTAGATATATTATTTGTGAACACTTTCTCTCATTCTGGTCAGAGTGAGCTGGGAGGGAGGGGTTTGTCCCTGCTCAGATTTCAGCCACTCCTCTCTTAGGGGCCTGGAGATCACTGAGCAGGGGTAGGTCTGGGGAAGCCCATAGCTGACCGTTCATTTCTAGGCCAGGTTCATGAGACTTGTTTAGCGGGTAAGTCTTGCCCTCTACCCCACATAGAAGCTGCGAGGCCAATGTTCTGGTAATTTTCTCCCCTCCCCACCACCTCAGACTCCAGGCTAGATTTTTAAGTTTAGAATCCTAAAGAGAGAAAATTAGGAAAGCATGATTCATTGTGCCTTTGTCCCTGTGTCACATCTGCCGCCTTTGCAACTATCCTACTGAGGTACCATCTCCTCAGATGCAACCTTAATGTCTGGTCAACAGAGCCACAACCCCCAGGGCTTGGGGCCAGGATCTCAGGGAGGGTGTGGCGCCACAGCTTCTGAGTTCTGCCCCAGATTGCACCTCGCCCCATGGGTAGACCCTAGTTCTTCTACACAGTTTCTGAGTCCTGGTCCAAAAACTGTTGTTTGGGAGACCTCATATCCAAGTTCAACTCTTCATACATCACAGTGGCTTCCACTGACAAGAAGGTCACGGATTGATACCCAAAAGCTGTACTGCTCTAAATCCAAGTCTTGAGAGTAGATTCACTTTTTATAATTGGTTCAGCCTCTCCCCATGGGATCTGTAAGTCCTATGTTCATGGGTTCTCTCCCTGGAACTACCTGTTGGTTTAGAGCTGATTGTGTGAGTTGTCATGACGTCTGAAATTGGAGCACCAATTCCTCCCCTTTGTTTCTCCTCTTTGTTAGTGAAGATATGTTGGAGTCTGCGAAGGACAGCACTTAGCAGCACATGTAGTTATTAGAGATTCAGAGAGAACAAGATTTCTGGTCTAGGGACTGAGACTGTGACAGTACAGTTATAGCTATAGTGATAGACATAGATAACAGATTGTTTACATAGGTAAAACAGGCACAGTGGTTTCAGAGAGATGCTAGGAGATGTACCCTTTTCTTTCTGCAAGTAGAGTTAATATGTTCTATTCCACTCACAGACCTAGGCTACACAACAGTCTCAGAGTCTTTGGATCATACATTCCTACCGCTTCCAGGCCACTGCCTGGGGATGGCTTTCTCCAACTTATATTACAACTTCAAACTACAAAAGTTTTGCAATGCCAAGAACCTGAACAAGACGGAGTGTGATCAAGTTTGTAAGTACTGCAAATAGAATTTATTAACTATGTTTTTCATTAGCTATAATTCATATAAAACTCACCCTTTTAAAGTATACAATTTAGTTTTTGGTATATTCACAAGGTTGTGCGACCATCACTGCTATCTAATTCCAGCACACTGTCGTCACCCCAAAAAGAAACACTCTATCATAACAGCCACCCCATATTCCCATCTCCCTGTCAAACAGTAATCTATTTTCAGTCTCTACAGATTTGCCTGTTCTGGACATTTCCTATTCACGGCTGAATAATATCCCATTATATGGATATGCCACCATTTATTTATCCATTCATCCATTGATGGGCATATGGATGTTTCAATGTTTTGACTATTGTGAATAATGCTGCTATGAACATCCATGTGTAAGTTTTTGTGTGAACACGTTCTCGAATCTCTTGGGTATACACCTAGGAGTGGATTTGCTGTGTAATATGGTAATTCAATGTTTAGCTTTTTGAGGAACCACCAAACCGTTTTCCATAGTAGCTCCACTATTTTATACTTTACGAACAATGTATGAGGTTCCAATTTGTCCACATCCCCTTCGACACCTATTTAAATTATTTTTTTTAATTGTGGTAAAATATACATATATAAAGTTCATTGTTTTAACCATTTTTAAGTGTACAGTTCAGTTGCATTAAGTACATTCGCATTGTTGTGCAACTGTGACCACCATTCTTTTGAAACTCTGTACCCATGAAACACTAACTCTCCATTCCTCCAGCCCCCGGCAACTATGATTCCATTCTGTTTCTGTGAATTTGACTGCTCTAGCTACTCCATACAAAATGTTTTAATTCCTTTCTCATTTCTTTTTGTGTATATTCTACAGCTATTTTTTTTCGTATGGTTATCATGGAGATTACAATTAACATCCTAAAGTTATAACATTCTAATTTGAATTTATACCACTTTAACTTCAGTAACATATAAAAACTGCTCCTACATGTATAGCCTCATCCCTACTCCCTTTCGATCATTGATGTCACAATATATTTTTGTGTATTGTGTGTCCAGAAACAGACTAATTTTTTAATGCATTAGTTTCTTAAGTCACGTAGAAAACAAAAAGTGGAGTTGCAAACCAAAGTTACAACAATACTAGCTTTTATAATTGGCTATGTATTTACCTTTGCCAGAGATCTTTACTATTTTGATCTTTAGCTCCCGATATGCTCAATGTTCATTATATATTATTAAATGAACAAACGAGTTGGAGAAGACACTGCATAGTATCATTCCACTTGTATTTTTAAAGGTTTTTATCTATAAAGTATGGAAGGATTATACACAAAACTGTAACAATAGTTTTGAGGAGTGGAGAAGGACCTCATGTCAATTAGTGTTTATTTATCGTATACTTTTAAAATGTATATATTTAAAAGAAAAATTCTTAAGTGGATCAGATTAAAAAGAGGCGAATAGAGGCTCCTGAGTGTTTTTACATGAGTGGTCGGTTAAAGTTATGGGGTGATTAATGATTAATAGAAGAACCAAACATATAATTTTTTTTTATTTCAAATAACTGTCATATGGACAGAGAGAAGTCTTTTACTTTACTGCATTATTTTTATAGAATATTTGTTATAGCCAGGAAAACAAAATATTATTCATGTTTACCATCTGCTGGGATGAGGTAATGTAGCACTAATGATAATGTTTCTTTTAAATGAATGATATTTGTTCTAATAGGAATTCACCTATGTGAGGAAAAGCTTGGAAAAATCACCCAAAGTTTGATAAGATCTGTTTATCCTATTTTAGCAGAGGGATATGTGATTCAAAAGAACATCTATGCCTGGAAATCTCTAGGAATGGGAAAGTACCTAACAGCCCTTGCCATCTCGGGACCTGTGTACATCATCCTGCTTTTCCTTATTGAAACTAATGTCTTACGGAAACTGAAAACCAGGTTTTCTGGCTTCTACAGGAAGCGAAAATTGGTGAGTGGGTCGGAGTACAATTCACTAACGATACATCAAGGGACTGGCTCCATGGCGTCCTCCTTGTGGTCTGTAATGACCTTGATTCTCAGCATTTGAGGGAGCCTAGGGTCCATCTAATCCGCCTTCAGGGCAGCCCATGTCCGAGTCCTCCTGAGGACCTGGCAGGAGAGGGAGCATGAGTGTTGGCTTAGCCCCTGTGACCCTGGTCAGCTGAGTAGAAACAAAAGACCCTGGGCTTCCTAAAACCAGTCACCTTTCTAGAATACCTTTTCCCCAGGAGTCAGATAGAAGCCAGATCTGTTCTGTTAGCTCTTGGCCTGAATATCTTCCATAGGTGAAGCCCACCCCCCGCCCCAGCCCGCTGAGGAAACTAGATAGAAAATGGATTTTGTTATACCTTGACATTCCCGGGCTTCAAGTCTTACAATTTCCGCAAAAGCCAGTGCCCACGTGAAGTTTCCATGCCTTCTCATGGTCATGTCAATATGTGCTTGGTCTTAAATACCTGTAACTGCCCCTGAGAAAGGGGTGGTAGTGTGTGTATGAGAACCGAGGTCACCTGGGGCACCTTCGAGGCCTTCCCAGGGAGGACCCAGTCCCTGTGTTTCCCTCCGTCTCTACCTCCTATCCTCGCAAAATCAGTTACACCCTCCATCCTTGTCTCGGAAAAGCAGGTAGTGTCGCAAAGCATAGCGCCAGTGTCTGGAGACCAAGACGTGGAAGAGGAGGCGAAAATGGTTGAGGCTAATTTGGAAAAGTTACGTGAGAAAAACCCACTGGTTCTTAAAGAAGTGTCAAAGGTAAAGTCAGATGTGGCTTAAAAAGCAAAGACCATTACTCTTATAGGCCTTTTGCATAAGGAAGCAGCCTTGGAGGGCTCCAGGCTCTGCCTTCTAGCTGGGAGTACTGGCAAAGGGCTCAGATGAGTTTCCGTGGAGACAGACTCAGAGGGAGCTTCCTCTGGGAATGAATCACATCTGAGTTCCCTTGTGTGCCTAAAGACAGAGGTTAGTGCATCAGCCTTCCTATCTCTTCTGGAGTCCTCTGTAAGATGGGAGGGCCTGGGATGGGAGGGGTACCAGAGCCACGAACCCTAAGAAGGAAGGAAGCCTCAGAGGTTAGACATGACTGTATGAATGTCTCTTGAATCTAGAAAGCAGTCTGTGGAGGAGTGAAGTTGGGGGGAAAGCTCCGAAAGCTCAAAGCAAGCCTGGCTAGTCTCCCTGGGAGCCCCAGCCAGAATCTTAACGCAAGACCTTCAAACATCCAGGAACTTTGTGACATTTTCCCCAAGTCTGTTACTCTTATACTTTGTTTTCCTGTAGTTACTGGTGGTTAAAAAACAAAACAAAACAACTCAGTCAACATCAAAGGAATTTTGTTTGCTTCAAGGACAGAAAGAAAGAGGGTTATCTTAGAGAACTAGGTTCTCAGTTTGTAGAGACAGAGGAGAGAAAACTAATCTTGCTGGGGCTAGCAGCCAAGAGGAGAAGGCAAGTCCAAGCCTGGGCACATTTGAGCGCCCCTGAGCCCCAAGGACAGCTTGGACCTATCCCAGAACCCTGTGCGACGAGCACAGGTGGCTCCAGACAGCTGACTGCAGACCTCTTCACTGTGTATCTTCTGTCTTATGTATATAAGGTCTATGCCAAGAAGGTGCCCCCGCTGGCTGTGAACAAGATCTCCTTCACTGTCCAGGCAGAGGAATGCTTTGGCCTTCTTGGCCTCAATGGTGCTGGGAAAACTTCCGTTTTGAAATTAATGACTGGGAAAGAGACTATCACCTCCGGGGATGCCTTTGTCAAGGGCCTCAGCATCAGCTCTCACTTGGGGAAGGTAGGTTGTGACTCGGGACAAGGAAGGCACCACCCTGGGGATGGGGGTGGCTGTGTCAGGAAAAAGAGGGCACTGAAATACGCTTGGGGTAATAACACAGGGCTGGGGAAAGGGAACTGGAATGGCTTTGATCTTTGAAAATTCCACATATCAGATTTATCTGTGACACTTATCCTCAACCTCGTCTCTGAGTCCAGATCATATATTTGAGCTGCTTACTCAACATCTCCTCTTGAATGTCCCACGGGCACCTAAAACTCAATAGACCCCCAAAGCCATCAGCTGTGCCCCCACACACCCAACTTCCCCCTCCCACTCCCCCTGTGCTTCATGAGGGAGTGAGTGGCACACATCTATTGCTACCCAAGACATCCAGTGGGCAGCCATAGTCCATGGAGCCTCCCTCTCCGTAGCCTGGAGTCTGCTCTTCTGACTCCCTTCCCAATGCACTCACCCTGGTCGAGGTTACTCCTGACTTTCGGTCTTACCTTCCATGCTTCTCTGTAGCATTCCATAATGCTGATCTTTCCTCCTGTCAAACTCTAGTTTTCCTTGGTTTATTCTATGACTTCCCCTCTCCTCTGCCTCTTCTCTGTCACTGACACTTCTTTCTCCTGTGGTAGATATTCTTCTAGCCCATTGGATTGTGGTGTTCCTCAGGGCTGCAAAATCAGCCCTCTGTCCTTCTCATTCTACACATGCTGTCCCTGCCTGATCTCATTCATTACTCTTGATTCCCATTATCTTCCGTTTGCTGATGTCTCCCAAGTAACCACATCCCCAGCCCAATCCCAGTCCTATGCTTCAGATCTGTATAGACTAGCCCTCTAGGTAGCCTTACTCAGACATCTCCCACTTTAAAATCAAACTTATTATATACCTTTGACCTTCTTCTTGGAGTCCCAACTTCAAATTCAATGGAACACTTTTGAATGCCTAGTATATGCCAACAATTGTGCTAACCCCAGTGATTCTCACCTACAAGGAGTTTGTGATCCTGTTGCCATGCAGAGAGGAAAGTGTAATAATAGAGGTGGTCAGGAGACAGCGGATTCAATGAAAGGCATATGAATACACCAAATCACAGAAACATAATCAAAGGTGTACTCATCACATCACAAATCATACTATGGCCAAGAAGTTTATCAAACTAGCTTCAATATCCATGACCAAAATAATGTTCGTAGAGAAAGCAGAGGAACCTACACAGGTTAGTTCTAGAATCCATGCTCTGAATGACCACTCTATCATCTTTTGATGTACATAGCTTGGTTGAACAATTATAACCAATATAAGCCTCTTGTGGCTATGAAACATTTACTATTAATTTTAACTTATTTTATTAACTAATGACAAGGCTTCTGGTAATGGCAAATTAGGTCATTCTGACCCCATTCCTGGTGATAATAACTAGAAAAACAGGACCAAAGTTTTAAAACATGCATTAGAAGGCTTCAGAAAGCTAACAAGATAATGAAGACTTGTGAGCCAGGAGTTAGGAGAAGACAGAGGCCTGGATGGCTGAGAGCTGAGTATTGCTCTTGATGCTGAAGTGACAGACACTTGAGTTCAGCATGAGTCCCCTCCCCACCCCCCCATCCTCGAGCAGGAGGAGCCTTTCTTTGGGTTGGGACCCTGAAGGGCTGCGCCCCAGGAGCAGGGATAAACTATACTGAGATAAGCTCATACAAGGATTACAAAACAGCTTGGACTCATATCAGTCCCTGAAATGAACTGATGTGACCTAAACCACCAGTGCTTCTAGGCACCTGGCAGAAACCAATGTAAGCCTTCTCTGGTGGAAGATGATATCACCCTAGGCCTCAGATGACTTCTACAAACAATACTGCAAATGCAATGCTTGGCACACAATACAAATAATAGGTACATGTACATTAAAACACCCCTTCCATGCACAGAAAAAAATAATAGAATGAAGCACAAAGGGTAGAGAAAATATAAAAGAAGTTAAGAGAGATTGTGGTATACCTTCAAGACATCCCCTAGTGATCCCCGTCCTGGTAATCACACCCATGAGTAGTCCCCTCCCATGCTGAATCAGGGTTAGTCTGTGTGACCAAAAGAATACTACAAAAGAAATGCTATGTCACTTCTGAGACTGGGTTATAAGAGACAGGTAGCTTCTGTTTTGGGTATGTGATCTGCCTGAGTACCTGAGGCCTGCCAACAACTACATAAATGAGCATGGAAGCAGATCCTCCAGTCTTCAGATGACTTCAGGCCCAGAACCACCCCAGACTCGGCCAGAACCACCCCGTTAAGCTGCTCTCAGATTCCTGATCGGACCCACAGAAACCATGAAATAATAAATTACCACTAAGTGTGGAGTAATTTGTTATGCAGCAATGTATAACTAATTGGATACAAAAGACACAATGAAAAGATTTAATATATGTGTAATCGAAGTCCCGAAAGAAAAGGAGACAAATATGAGGCAAAGCAATATTTGAAAAATTCATGGCTATAACTTTCCAAAATTTAGGAAAGACATCAAATTACGAATAAATAAAGGCTTGTTAACCCTAAGCAGGATAAATTAAAAGAAATAAATCTCCAGGAACATTATAGTAAAACTGCTGAAAAATAAACACAAAAAGAAAATCTTAAAAGGATCCACCTTCAAAAGAGCAATGATTAGACTGGCAGTTGACTTTTTAACAACAGAAGGACAAACAACAGAAGCCAAAACAGAATAAAATGACACATCATAAGTGATATAAGAGATAACAATCAACCTAGAATAATATATCCAGTAAAGCTATACTGTAAAAAGAAGGTATTTTCAAAAGACATTTTCAGATAAACAAAAACAGAGAGAATTTATCACCAGCAGATGTGCACAAAAAGAAATAATAAAGAATAGTTTTCAGACAAAAGAAAAATGATCCCCGATGGAAGCTCAAAAATGCAGAAAGAAGAGAAGAGCGCTTTTTAAAAAAGGTAAATGTGTGAGTTTTGACTAAACAAAGCTATATGTCCTATGAGGTTTAAAATATATATAAAATTAAAATACATGACAGTAATGGTTTTAAGTCAGGAGGGGGTAAATAAAATTAAAGTATTTTAGGATCCTTACCTTGTCTATGAAGAAAATAAAGTTCCAGTTAATACTACACATTGCTAAATCAAGGGTGCATGTTTTAGTCTCTAAGGGAACAACCAAAAGAACAGGGGGAAAGAATATATACCTTTTAGGCCAAGAGAGGGAGACAATAGAAAAAATTATTTTTAAAAAATGTGACAGAAAATGAGAAGCTAGAGAAAGAAGAACTTAGAACATATGAGACGAACGAATAGCCCTGAATAAGATAGTAGATTTAAATCCAAATATATCAATAATTGCATTAAATATAAATGAACTAAAGATTCCAATTAAAAGACTAAAAGTTTCAACATAGAGAACTGAAAGCCTACATCCACACAAAAACTTGAATGTGAATGTTTATAACAGCATTATTCATGATAGTCAAAAGATGGAAACAATTCAGATGTTCATTAACAGACGAATGGATAAACAAAGTGTGATCTAGCCATACAATGGAATATTATTTAGCCATAAAAAGCAATGAAGTACAGATACATGCTACAACATGGATGGACCTCAAAAACATTATCTTAAGTGGAAGAAGCCAGTAACAAAAGGCCACATATAATATGATTCTGTTTATATGAAATGTTCGGAACAGGCAAATCTATAGAGACAGTCAGTAAATTAGTGGTTGCCAAGGGCTAGAGGTATTGAGGAAAATTAGAAGTGACTGCTAATGGATACAGGGTTTCTTTGGGGATAATGAAAAGTTTAAAATTGATTATGATGATGGATCCACCACTCTGAATATGCAAAAACCATTCATCAATGGGTAAATGTAGTGAACGAGTCCATTGTATGATATGTGAATTGCATTTCAGTAAAGCTGTTATAAAAAGGAAGGAAAAAAAGGAACAAATGAACAAACAAAGGAATGAAAAAAAAGAAAGATGGGACAAGGGCACATAGTCCTAACAGATCCTCCATCTGGCCTTATTGTCATCAGTCATCCATCAACAAATATTTATTGAAGCTCACATAGAAGAAAGTATGAACCTGTTCCATAAACTCAGGTGATAAGAAATGTTACATTTATTTGTATTATTTAAAATCAAATTAGATCTGTGTACAAAGCCCTCACCCTGCCCAGCTGATTGGATATCAATCTTCCTGAAACCCATCTGCATACTACCCCATGACAATTCATAAAAATTTATAGTTGGAAATATGGAATTTAAATCATATTAAACTTGCTCCTCTGTTTCTGTTTTTTTTTTCCCTAGAAATCGCACATGAATTAATGTCATTGGGAAACTAACAAAGCTGCATCCTTGCTCTCTCCCTTTGTGAGCCTTCTGCTCACCACCCTTTATCTGTACAAGTATTTTAAAGCATTTTTCCTATCTTCTAAAATACAGTCTTATCAGAATGTGCTGGTATTCTAAAAATCAGCAGTGACTTCTGAAAGTCTACATGCATTTCTTTCTGAATCGCTTACTGCCTCAGAATTATTTAGCTCCACTATGGAGCTGTCATTGGTTCATGGTGCCACTATGTGCTGAACAGGGCTCCTTGACCATCCCAGATGAGCCACCATGATAACGGGTTTATGCCCAACTCAGGTGTGGAAGAAATGTAACATTTCTTCATTTTCTTTACGTCAAATTACATTCTCAAGCCTTCTATCCCAAAATTGGTTCAAGAACTAGAAAACCTGTTTATATAGACCGAAACCAGAGATAAAATTGAAATAATGGTCAAAGATCCATTCCTTTTCAGGAGTCTAGGCTGCGAGAGATTGGTGGGCAAGTCTACCAACCACCGTTTCCTTTTTTTTTAGAACCCTTCAGAAGCATGGGAGAGAAGATGGGGTGCCACTAACTTGTAAATGATCATAAAACCAGACAAGGACCCAACATGAGCCATAGGCCAGTTTCATGTAGGAACATAAATACCATAAATAAGATATTAACAATACAAATTCAGCAATATATTGAAAGAATAAAAATTATGATCAAGTCAGCCTTATCCCAGAAAAGTAAGGTTCAATAGCAGAAAAATCCACCAATATTAATCACTACCTTAATAGATCAAAGGAGAAAAGATATTTATCAATAGATGCTGAAAAAGCATTTGTAAAAAATTCAGTACCCAGTCATGATTTTTTAAAATTTTTAGCAAACTAGAAATAGAGGGAACATTAGGTCAAAATCACTTGATAAAGGAAGTCTACTAGAAATCTTTGTATTTGATAGTGAAATATTTGAAGCTTCTTCATTTAAGTCATCTGTTTTCTTCTCAGTTCTCCCCAGAGCCCAGAGCTGTCCAGCTGCTTCAGTGGGGAGAAGGATGAGGAAAGAAAATTTGGTTATTTTTCAAAAATGGTATTCTATCATTTACTCCAGAGAAGTGCCTGAGCATGAGCACAAACCAGGGTGGTTCACTGCAAGTTTGTAATGGCAAAACCTAGAAATAACTCAAATGAGCCTGAATTTTTTATAAACAGCTAAATAAAATCTAGAAACCTTCCCTGGTTGACTAATAGCAGTTAAACTGAGTCAAAGTAGGTCTGTATTTATAGACTAGGGAAGATCTTTAAGATGTAATGTTGAGCTAGAAAAGCAAGTTGCAAACTGGTTGATGCGGGATAATACTGTTCAGCAAAAACAACATAAAATCGTTCCTCTGCAGAGAGTGTAGGTCTGTGCAAAACTCTGGAGGTCCACACCAACCTGACCACACCAGGCCCAGGGCAGTCCTCCAACATGAGATTCTAATAGCCTTTGTGTGAACATTTGACAAAGAAAATCTATTCGTGAATCACATATCTAATAGAAAATATTTTTAAAAAGGAAAAATACAGCGTCTTCTATCGACCAGATATTTGGAAAGTGACAAAAGGTAGGGAGGCACTGGACACTGAGGTTTCATGCCAGGCAGGCAGGAGGAAGGGCGCCAAGCAAGCACTCCAGTCCCACGTGTGCCCATTCATAGACACCACCAGCAAGTGCTGCATCCCAGGCTCCCTAACATCACTGTCATGCCACTCACCCCCAAGGCCCTCATCTGCTCATGTAGCAAATGTGGGTATGCACAGGGCAGAGGAAGAAGCCTGGGCTGGGGCAAGGCCAGGGTAGATGTCCAGTTGACAGCTTTCTTTCTGACGTGCCTCCCTCTCGGGCTTGTTCCAACCCCAGGTGCGGCAGTGGGTAGGCTACTGCCCCCAGGCTGATGCCCTGCTGGACCACATGACGGGCCGGGAGACACTGGTTATGTATGCCCGGCTCCGGGGCATCCCCGAGCGCCACATCAATGCCTGCGTGGACCAAATTCTTGATGAATTATTCATAAACACAAACGCAGACCAGCTGGTGAATTCCTACAGGTGAGATTTGGGGCTCCCTTGGCCCTTCCACCTCCAGTAATAAGATGTGCCCTGGCTCTTCTAGGTGCTGGGGTGTAGGGTGAGGTCTATCAGTGCCAGCCTTGGCGTAGCTATGCGATCCATGCCACTTTGTGAATTTGCAGGAAGGTGGCCTTCCTGTGAGAATGGGTCAGTGGTCTGGGCTGCCCCAAGGCATTGCTTCTTCTTGGCCCTGGTCTGAATTGAGGTCAGGGGAGCAGCACCACAGGTGTTGTCCTGGCAAGGTAAGGACAGATCTTTCTTCCTGCCACTTCACAAAGTTCTTTTGATTTTGGTAGGCTTGGATTTCAAGCACACTTACATTATCCCACTGTGTCTATGGCACCTGGGCTGCTGATATTCTGCTGAGAAGCCTGGGGATATTCCTCAACCTTCTGTTGCCAGTGATGTCATCCCAACTCCAATTAGCTTAAAGCCAGGCCACACATCTCCTGAGTCCCAGGATTCCCCCTTGAATTGTGTGCAGCGCCCCCTGGAGGTTTGCAGCAGTACCCTACTTCTTGAACTGGAGGGTCAGAGATGCCCACCGGGCAGGGATGTTGTCCTTGGTTCTTCTCTCTCTTGGCTTTGGTTTCAAGCAAATTTTTGTGTTGACTTGTCTTTTTTTCCCCCTTGTGTCTTTTGAAGATTAAATGAGTTAACATTTGCAAAGTTTAGAACAGCATCTTGCACATTGTTAATCCTATGTGCTGGTTAAAAAAAAAAAAAATTAGTGAAAATGGCCCTGTGAACTTACCCCCTAGCACACATAGAGATCCTCAAAGAAGACTCACTGACTGTGTGCTCACCTGGACTGATCCCTGTGTCCAGGGAAATGGTTTATATGCAGAGTGGACAGCCAGGTCGCAATGACATCCTGGGGGAAGGTGGTGGGCCATGTTACTAAAAGCCCCACACGAGGGGTTGGACAGAGAAGAAAAAGGGGGAAGGTTGGAGTACTGGAGATTGGTAATTGCCATTCACTCAACCTTCTTCACCTCTGCCCCCAGCGGTGGCAACAAGCGGAAGCTGAGCACTGGCATTGCCCTGCTTGGAGAGCCTGCGGTCATCTTCCTGGATGAGCCAACTACTGGCATGGACCCTATGGCCCGGCGCCTGCTCTGGGGCACTGTGACAAGGGTCCGCAAATCTGGCAAGGCCATTGTCATCACCTCCCATAGGTAGCACTGGGGTCTCCATGGGTCAGTGGAAGAGCCAGAATGGGGCACGTGGGAGGGATGGGCTGGGAGAAGCTGGTTAGAAAGAGACCTGACAGCAGCTGGTGCAGAATCTGTGAGGAGAATCCCCAGGCTCTGCCACATGGGCCACACTCTGAGCTTGGGACTCAGGAACGGTTCAATTTAGGCATTGTCAACTTCCTGTCTACATGAGCCTTTGACACAGAGGGTGGACGTCAGCATACCCCAGCCCTACATCAGGCCTCTACGTCCTTTTCCCAGCATGGAGGACTGTGAGGTCTTGTGCGCCCGGCTGGCCATCATGGTGCAAGGTCGGTTCAAGTGTCTGGGCAGCCCACAGTACCTCAAGAGCAAGTATGGCAGTGGCTTTACCCTGCGGGCCAAGGTCCGGAGCGATGGGCAGCAGGAGGCTGTGGAGGAGTTCAAGGCCTTTGTGGACCTGACCTTCCCAGGTGTGTGAGGCTGCACAGAGGGCATCTGAATCCTGCCCTGCCAAGTCCCACATCCCTGACCCCTAGGATGAGGGCCATGATTCCACAGGCCCAGGCTGTCCTTCCCTGGCCCTCCAGCCTAGTCCTCATGGAGATTCCTTTGTGCAGGCAGCATCCTGGAAGATGAGCACCAAGGGATGGTTCATTACCACTTGCCTGGAGATGACCTCAGCTTGGCGAAGGTGAGCACATACGTGGGCATTGGAGAGAGCATAGCTCTGATGTCACCTGCTTTCTGGTGTTCTCTCTTTTGGGTGGAAGTCACGTTCAGTGCCTCTGCAGTTCCTCTCTGACGTCTCCATGGCAACATTCATATGGATTTCACAGAAGATAAGATATTCGAGCTGAAAGTAACCTTGGAGATCAGCTCCTCCTCATTTCACTTAGAGGGCAGCAGGCCAGACAGGGGACACTACATACCCATGGTCACATAGCAAGCCAGGGACCCAGCCATAGCCTCTGCCTCCTGAAACCATTCCCAGCCCTGGTCCCTTTCCCAGAGTCGGCAGATAGCTGAATTCCATAGAACTAACTTGTTGGGAGGTGCTCTGGGGGTGCAGCTGAGAAATGGAGGAGCCTTTTGAGGGCCTTGTCACAACCCCAGATGCCCCTCTTCTTTCTACCCTCTGCCATCTCCCATCCCTTCCCCTGTGCCCACCACCCACAACAGCTTCCTCCCTTCCCACAGGTGTTTGGCACTCTGGAGCAAGCCAAGAGGAGGTACATGCTGGATGACTACTCGGTCAGCCAAGTCTCCCTGGAGGACATCTTCCTGAGTTTCACGTGCCCTGGGCTCCCCACCCAAGGGGAAAACAAACAAGGGCAAACAGAGCCAGCAAGCTCTTTATTGCCACCTCCCTCTCCACCTCCCACCCAGCCTCCCTCTCCGCCTCCCTCTCCATCTCCCTCCTGTCCTCCCTCCCAATCTCCCTCACCACTTCCTTAAGAATCTGTCTTGCTATAATAAAAAATTCCCAGTGCCAGGTTAGCCCATGGTGTGCACAGCCTGCCATGGGCTACAAGGGTTACCGAGGCAGCTCATGGACCCAGTGAGCTCAGCCAGGGGGTTGGGGGTGGGGATGGCTTGCTGCCAGATTGAGGCCACTCACTTTAAAGGACTGGTGGAGGACCCAGATGCATTTCAGTGGAAAAGGATCCCCTCGAGTCCCACCTGGATGACCTATGGCCTCATTGAGACCTGGCTGTGGAAGCAACTGCAGAGAAATACCTGCTGTGTCCTCTCCAGGAACAGTGGTCTGAGGTTGACCATGGTTGTAATGACACCATATTTCTGAAGGTAGGAGGAGAGACAGATTAACGTGTTTGCAGCCTAAGTCACAACTTTTCAACATGTACGTATTTAGGTTTGCTCTCTGCCCTGGCCCCAGCAAATGTTAGGGTGAGCCTGCATGTGACTTTACACCAACCTGTGAAGTGGAAGTGATTGTTATACCTATTGCCCAGATGAGTGAGCTGAAATTTAGAGATAATCAGCAATCCTCCATGGTCAACAGGTATAGAGCCATTTGACAAGTGTTCTTAAAATGACGTTCCTGACCACATCAGCAGCATCCAGAAACTTGTTAGAAATGCAGGTTCATGGGCCCCACCCCAGGCCTGTAGAGTGAGAAATTTGGGGATGAGGTCCAGCGTTGTGCTTCAGATGTAGCTCAGGTGTGAGAACCATGAGCTAAGGCCTGTGTGCTCTGGACTATCACCCCATCCAGCCTGTGAGTGTGAATGAGAAAGGAATGAGACAGATGTGGCTTTGCATTTCTATCACAAGGATCTCTTCTGGGACATGCCGTCAAGTAGCCTTTTTCTCTTCAACAGGGTCACTCTGGTGCCTCTAAAAAGGCCCCTCTGCTCCTCCTTTGCCAGGTAGTTCTCTCCCTCTCTTCTCAGCTAAGCTCTGGGAAAGTGGCATCTACTGTCTCTGCCCACAATTCCTACCTCCCATCATCACTCACCCCAAATTACCACATTGTCGCATTGTAGCACCCTTGGCTGCCACACCCATTGGTTTCTCCTTGCTTTTTCCACGTGACTGCTCTGTGACATTTCCTAATATCCCCTGCCGCCTTCTGATGAAAGCCCCTCCAAAGGCCTCTCCCCACTGCGTCTGGCTCTCTGTCCCTCCATGGCCCCTCCTCTGCCTCCTCTGAAGGTTCCTCTTCCTTTCTCTCTGAATGGTGGGATCGTTCAGGCTACCAGTCCACCTCATGTTCCTTACTCTCCTTTCTGTACCCTGCTACCTTTGAATTCCTTTCTCATTCACCTTCAGGCCTTCAACTATCATCTTATTCAAGCCAGGAACTTCCCTGAGCTCCCAACAGTCTAGATTTTCCCAGTGAGTTCCCTCAGCTTCCTGAAGCCCAGTGGGAAATGAGCTCATCACCCCCTGGGTCCTAAGGACTCGTACTGCCAGGGCAGTGGGTGAGGGCTAGGGCAGGCATGGCTGCAGCATGGCTAAGAGGGAGAACACCTGTTTGTTGAAAAATAAGAAAACTTCACCTCTGAATAAATAAGAGTGATAAGGACATAAATAACAAGACAATTGAGGGACTTTGAGTGACCAGGGATGTTGACGTGGACTCCACGATGTAGTACCACAGGGGAGTTAGAGCAGTCAATGGCGATTCACTCACTCATTGGTGAATCCAGTTTATCAGTACCTTCAAGGTGCTGAAAGAGTGCACCTTCTCCCTGGGGGAGATTTGTAATGAAGCAATAGTACAGGGGAGGAGGACAACAAATTGGGAAACAGAAATCAATGGAAACAAAGGTGTGAGGACGAGAAATCTGAAGTCCTCCATAGATTCCTTCCTGTCCTTGTGTGTGTGTGTGTGGGGGGGGTGCTATGGGACATCTGGGGAGCAGACCCCATGCATGCTCAGCTCTATCCACTTGTTTTCCTGTGCACATCACCCTTACCACCTCCACCACCCCCATCTTCCAGGGCCTCAGCCCCTTGTCATTTTGGGACCACTGAGACTCTCATATCCTGTGTTGCAATCTTACATCTCCTCACTTCTCCATCTCCTGCTCCAGATGGATATGAATGGAGCCTTGGCACCATAGGGTTTAGTGAGCACAGGGATGGGGGCACAAAAGAGAGGAGATGATGCTGACTAAGAACATGGGGAAAGGGGTCTGAGCCATGACCCAGATTCCCTGTCTTCTCCAGGAAAAACCACTCTGTCCTCCCTCAAATACTTCCCCCAGGAAACTGCATTTCTTTCCTTGTCAGAATGTCTTATGGCAGAGGTGGGATGTGAGCTGGTTCCTGAAAGACAGGCCGGGTGGGCACTGCCTAATACCTCTGAACAGAATGCTCGGCTGTGACAGGCAGCAGCCATTAAAGCAAGCAGGTGCACTTCTCTTTTAGGAAGGGCACCCAGGTGGCAACGAGGAGATGTTGCGAACGGACTTGGGGAGATATCTGATCAAACTGAGAGGGTTAGGGCTTGCCCAGGGGCAGGTACAGAGTGAGGGTCCAGGGTGAGCCACGTTCCTCGGAAAGAGGGGGTCAAATATGCTGGCTGAGTCAATGAAGACTTCAAAGCCCAGGTCTCGAACTCAACTTTCTGCATTACAGTCTGTGCAAACAGTGGCTGGGCCCCGAACAAGGGGTCTTCTCGCCTGAAGCACTGGCGGGAAGCAGGACGTGCGACCTCTGGGTGAGGGCCCGAAGTCAGGGCCTCCTGGGAGCCGCGCTGCCCGCGAATGCCAGCTCGCCAGCGTCCACACAGGTAGATGACCCTGTCGAGGCCACAGCTGCACAGCGATCTCCGCCAAACTCCGCATCCGGAGGCGCGGCCAGTCCGCACAGACCTTCACTGACAACCCACTGCGCACCGTAGCTTCCAGTGGCCGGGACCTCTGCCGAGTCAGCAGCGAGGCCCAAACTTCGAACAGCCCAGGGGTTGTAGCCCAGGACTACACGAGCCATTCCAGACTGCAGAAGCCCCTACGGAGCAAGCCTAAGCCGCGATCCTCCAAGACAACCCCCGGCCTGGCCTAGAAGGCGGGGCAACCGCGCGAGTTCCACCAATCAAAGGCCGGCATTCGAATTCGCGTCCTGGCGCGGCCAATCGAGGGCGTCCGCGGCCGGCGGGTTGGGCGGACCTGGGGGCGAGGCCCCGTGGCCCCGCGGCGCGCGCCCCCCTGAACCGACCAATGGGAGCGCCGGGCGCGTTTGAAAACTAGGGCGGGCGGCGGGGCGGGTCTGCGCGTGCGTGCAGCGGCGCGCACAGGGCCCGCGGGCGGCCGGAGAGGCTTAGATCGCAGTGACGACGGCAGAAGAGGAGGCGCGGGCAGCGATGGGGAGCGGCGGCGGTGAGCATTGGGCGCGGGCGAAGGCGGGACGGCCGTCCGAGACTGCGCAGGCCAACGCGAGCCCTTCGGCCTGGGGTGCGGTGGTCCTGGTGGCGCCCGCCTGGCGCGAGGTTTAAATGCCAAGCAGCGTCCAGAACCCTGTAAAAGACCCGCGCGGGGCCCGGCGCCTGTCTGTCGAGGGCTGTGAGCGCGGCCGCGGCTTGGGTGGTTATTACCATGGCGGTTAAGCGTTTCTGTGTCTGTCTTAGAGCAGGGGAATGAGGATAGCGGTCTGGTAAAATTTGTGTAATCTATGAGAACTGGTCGCCCTGCATGCTGATCTGGCTTTCCCAGCACGTTAACTGCTGATGAGAAGACCCAGGTGAAGAGCAGGGCTCTGAGTAAGGGGAGGAAAGTACAGTACTGGGGAGGAGGGCCGGGGGGCGGGGGTGGTGG